GTTACAGGTCTTTGAGAGCCAGAAATCTTGCTTGTTTGTAGGTGACCAAATACTTATTTTCCACCATAATTTGCAAATAAATTCATTAAAAATCCTACAATGTGATTTTCTGGATTTTCTTTTCTCAATTTGTCTGTCATAGTTGACGTGTACCTATGATGAAAATTACAGGCCTCTCTCATCTTTTTAAGTGGGAGAACTTGCACAATTGGTGGCAGACTAAATACTTTTTTTTCCCCCACTGTATGCCATCAATCTGTATGAGGCATGCTTTCTGGCAGAAACAACCATTAACATGAAAATGAAAAGAGAAAGAAGCATAATTGCATTATGTAACGACTGACACCGGAATCCCCTGCTCACCCAGTCTTTGGGCAGTCTTTTCAATGTTCCTCAGTGCAGACTGTCTTCTCCCTATGGCACGAGAACCTCTATCTCCCCATCACAAAAGCCAAAGTCAGCCTGGTCAAGGTCTACACGCACTTCACTATCCTCTCCTTCCCCCTCAAAAGTAAAAGAACACCTCTGTGTTGTACACTGTGCAAAGCAAACCAGATTCAGTTCCATCAGCCTGGAATCAATCCCTGTCGGGCACATCTCTCAAGGTGAGGTTGAAGTCTGGGGTGTCAAAATACTGGTCTTGGAATTGTGTCTGACCAATACACACCACTGGTAAGAGAAAAGCTGCCAGAAAGGGGGAGGGGTGCAGCGAGAAAATGTATTACATACAGTTGAAGTAGAAAGTTTACATTGACATATTTTACATTTTTAGTCATTTAGCAGACGCTCTTATCCAGAGCGACTTACAGTTAGTGAGTGCATACATTATATTTTTCATACTGGCCCCCCATGGGAATCGAACCCACAACCCTGGCGTTGCAAACGCCATGCTCTACCAACTGAGCTACATCCCTGCCGGCCATTCCCTCCCCTACCCTGGACGACGCTGGGCCAATTGTGCGCCGCCCCATGGGTCTCCCGGTCACGGCCGGCTACGACAGAGCCTGGATTCGAACCAGGATCTCTAGTGGCACAGCTAGCACTGCGATGCAGTGCCTTAGACCACTGCGCCACTCGGGAGACAATACACTTAGGTTGGAGTCATTAAAACTTTTTTTTCAACCACTCCACAAATTTCTTGTTAACAAACTATAGTTTAGGCAAGTCAGTTAGGACATCTACTTTGTGCATGACACAAGTAATTTTTCCAACAATTGTTTACAGACAGATTATTTCACTTATAATTCACTGTATCACAATTCCAGTGGGTCAGAAGTTTACATACACTAAGTTGACTGTGCCTTTAAACAGCTTGGAAAATACCAGAAAATGATGTCATGGTTTTAGAAGCTTCTGATAGGCTAATTGACATCATTTGAGTCAATTGGAGGTGTACCTGTGGATGTATTTCAAGGCCTACCTTCAAACTCAGTGCCTCTTTGCTTGACATCATGGGAAAATCAAAAGAAATCAGCCAAGACCTCAGAAAAAAATGGTAGAACTCCACAATTCTGGTTCATCCTTGGGAGCAATTTCCAAACGCCTGTACAAACAATAGTACGCAAGTATAAACACCATGGGACCACGCAGCCGTCATACCGCTCAGGAAGGAGACGCGTTCTGTCTCCTAGAGATGAACGTACTTTGGTGCGGAAAGTGCAAATCAATCCCAGAACAACAGCAAATGACCTTGTGAAGATGCTGGAGGAAACAGGTACAAAAGTATCTATATCCACAGTAAAATGAGTCCTATATCGACATAACCTGAAAGGCCGCTCAGCAAGGAAGAAGCCACTGCTTCAAAACCGCCATAAAAAAGCCAGACTACGGTTTGCAACTGCACATGGGGACAAAGATCGTACTTTTTGGAGAAATGTCCTCTGGTCTGATGAAACAAAAATAGAACTGTTTGGCCATAATGACCACTGTTATGTTTGGAGGATAAAGCTCCAAACAAGCCGAAGACCACCATCCCAACCGTGAAGCACGGAGGTGGCAGCATCATGCTGTGGGGGTGCTTTGCTGCAGGAGGGACTGGTGCACTTCACAAAATAGATGGCATCATGAGGAAGGAAAATTATGTGGATATATTGAAGCAACATCTCAAGACATCAGTCAGGAAGTTAAAGTTTGGTCTTCGAAATGGACAATGACCCTAAGCATACTTCCAAAGTTGTGGCAAAATCGCTTAAGGACAACAAAGTCAAGGTATTGGAGTGGCCATCACAAAGCCCTGACCTCAATCCTATAGAAAATGTGTGGGCAGAACTGAAAAAGCGTGTGCGAGCAAGGAGGCCTACAAACCTGACTCAGTTACACCAGCTCTGTCAGGAGGAATGGGCAAAACTTCACCCAACTTATTGTGGGAAGCTTGTGGAAGGCTACCCGAAACGTTTGACCCAAGTTAAACAATTTAAAGGCAATGCTACCAAATACTAATTTAGTGTATGTAAACTTCTGACCCACTGGGAATGTGATGAAATAAATAAAAGCTTAAATAAATCATTCTCTCTACTATTATTCTGACATTTCACATTCTTAAAATAAAGTGGTGATCCTAACTGACATAAGACAGGGAATTTATACTAGGATTAAATGTCAGGAATTATGAAAAACTGAGTTTAAATGTATTTGGCTAAGGTGTATGTAAACTTCCGACTTCAACTGTATCCTTTGAATAATCTTTTTTTCACCTCACTGCTAAAAAGGATGCACATTTGTTTATAATTTGTAAGTATAGTGTGATGGATTCTAAATGAAATCAGTCCCCATATGACTAAATGAACATAGCTAGTAGTCTACATTTGAGTTTTCTCTACCAACCTTAATCAACAGCATTCCACTTGAATTAATCTGTTGGCCCACATTATACATTCTAAGTGTGTACTCTATATTGTAAGTGCATCTATCATATTTGAAAGTGTTTTTTAATATAAAATTATGAGTTATGGCAATGCCGTCGGGGCACAATTGTACAGTCTGGAGGCTATACACACCTATCTCTTCCAATTGTTTCTGAATATCAGCATCACAGACACATTTCCTCTCCGTTCCAAACTCATTGACTCTGCAATGAGACAAATTTATTAACATCAAAATGCTCACTGCGAAATAAATTCGTCTAAGAACTACATATAAGTTCATTTGGAAAATAGTATGTGGTCTTATTGGCTTTGTTGCCATGTGGAAATGTACGATGTCATAGACAGAGAGCGCGTGCAGCAGTAACACTAGCTAGTACATTCGCATTGTACATTTCATATAGGCAAATATTATTTGAATGAACTAATATTGTTACATAAAGGTTTTATATTGACGACTAATGTCTGCGTCCCTGCTGAACGTCAGCAATCAGCCTTGGGGGGAGCTGTCGTGTGTTTACTAGAGGTAAGAGGGGAAAGAGGGAGAGAGCGAATGAGTGAGGGAGAGAGAGAGAGAACAGGCGAGGGAGGGCGACCAGAAAAACTTTTCAGTTTTAAAGAGCGAGAGGAAGCGTGTGCTGGAGCGGCGACCATGCAGGTAAATGCATTAACTAATTGCTCTGAAGTTAATTAAACGATATTGGCGATGTCTTGATTGCGATTGTGTTTGGAAGATTGCTGCGCAAATGATAGTTTCAATCGAACGATTAATTGTTGTATATCAAATAGTTCTATGCACCGAATTCGAACATTATTTTCAAACTTTTCAACCTCCCTTTCTCTTCACCCCACCACCCCCCTTTGCCGTGCGCAGTGTGCAAGTAGTCTGTTTCAAGTAGCTTAGCATTTGATTATTGTGTCAATTATTGCACGAAACCATCTACAATGATTGTTAAGATGTTCATGAATACTAAATATATTGGATAATGAAGCTGATCATTAAAATGCGTTCTGGGTTTTGCGGAATGGTGAGGGAGGAGGGGGTGCGATGTTTTTTTTTTTTTACACATCTGTGAAGGGAAGCCATATTCATTAATTAAATCGCTTAGTCCATGTAGGCCTCAATTTGCGCTGTTGAGCAGGCAGCGGTTGGTGTAATACTGGATGCCCGATTGGCAGCCCACAATCTGTGGGGTAAGGGAACCACTCTAGGCCGAGGTTTCGGATTGGGAACCAAAAGCCTAGCGACTCAGTCTATGTATCTATTTGTAGTGGAACGCTATGCTTCAGGATGTGTAACTATGTACACCTGGGCTAAGTATTTTTTTTTTTTTGTCTACTGGACTAGCTAGTTGAAGGACGGTTGAGAGTGCGACAGGTTATCTTGCTAGCTAGCAGGTTGGCACCATTGTTTTGATCCTTTTGTTTAATTTCGCAACATTAATGAATAATCAATGCGGTAGTATCGAGTCTCTGTTTTAACCGTCTTTATAATTGCAGAGCAGAACTAGTGTTTCTTGCATTTCATAACATTAGTTAGTAACACAACGTTGATAGCTTGGCTAACTAGCTTGCTAGCTAATTGACTGATCACTGTTCCGCGTAGTTAATTAAGCTGTACCTTAATTAGCTAAAGAATCAAGAGCAATGGGCATTTTTTATATGTAACTTTACAGTTGTATAAATCATTTACACTATGGTTTATAACGCACTGCACTCTCTCAACCATAATAATCATGCAACCTTGCTAGTAAAACGATATTTTCTGGGAACGGCTAGCTAGCTAATTGGTGAGGACGGAAGTGGGTAATACAGCAGTGTTGGTATTCGCATGTATGTTTTTTTTTTATCGCTCATCGATTAATTTAGAAGTACCGGTATTCAAAGTTGTAGCCTAATAATAGGGTCGTTTTAAGTAGTTTGGTCTAATCACACAATTCAATTTCTGCCGAGTAGCATTGGAAAAGGACAACACTGCATTGTCTCGTGGTGGGGTATGCTGGCCATTTACCAGGCTATTTCGTTGGTGTGTGTGAACGTTCAAATGGCCAATGGTTCGTTCATTAGTTACAATGAAGCGACATGTTATGTTTTGCATGACCCTAGATATCATACTCGTCTCAGAAATGTGCTAAATGTATGCTGGTCAAGGTCAATAATCAGGCCATTCACAACAATTGAAGTGGTTTAAATTTTTCTTCGTGCGAAGTGAAGTGACATTGCATTCGAGTCAGAAAATATTCGGTATTTTTTTGTTGTCTAATGTCATTTGAAGTTGATTTTATTGATTTGGACCAAGTTCATTTAATACTATTTTGGGTGGGTCTGTAGCCTAAACAATTGGGATAGCGATAGGCTATATTTGTTTCTTCTGTTATCAGCGTCTGATAGTTAATTATCTATATTGAGGCCTAACTTGGATCACTCTCACTGTTTAGGTTTATTTAGATTTCCAACATACTTACTGAAATAACATTTGCGCTGTCTAGCCTTTTTTGTTTGTTTTTTCTACAGAGAAACACCACTGGATATGGTCATGATTTCAAAGCAATATTTTTCAATCTACTGAAACACATTTTGATCTTGCAGGAGAAGTCTGGCGAGACAGTGTGCAGTGACAGCAACGAGGTGGCGGTGTGGTTGTGCCCCCTGTGTCAACAAGGGCTACCAGACAGGGGCTCCCTTTCTCTGCACCTGACTGACAGTCATAGCGTGCTCCATAACTGTGTAGACCAGCTGCTGGACATTGTAAGTAGTGCTACGCTACGCTACATCATATGGGTCAACAAAACTTGACATGTGTGTCTGTTATGTTGATGTATTTTATGAATGATACTTGAATGATGTCAAACAGAAATACATTATAAATTATTGTACATACATTGTGTATACATAGTTGTGGGATTTTAGACCGTTTAGGATGTGATAATACAATACAACTTTATTTATCCCCTTAGGGCATTATTAGTAGAGGATCCCTGGTTATGTGAAAGAATGCAAAATCGTAGAATGAGTCACCAATTTGTACTAAGATGCTCTCTTGTTGGACTGCAACACAAAGCAGTTGGTTCCTGTGTCAGCAGAATTTAGTCTTAAGGTAAAGTTTCCTTGACATGTTTTTCAGAATGAATTAATCACGTTTTCTTCACCAGGCTGCTCCCAAACAGGGGGCGAGGGGAGGGGACGGGGACACCGACGTTCAGCATGACGCAGGTGAGTTTGTCCTCCGATTGACAGCAGTACCTACCATTTTGCACTGGATTAATTGATCAATATTGTATTTACGAATGCATTTGATTTATGGATTATTTGAATAGAGGATACAAGCACATTGACAGAGTAGCCTAAACAACTAGCTTGTGCTCATTTTAAAACGTCTGTCACTAAGACGGTATTGTTACACCTACAAGCATACATCTGCTATGACTGTATTTGTGTTGTCAGGTAATCAATCAGGTGCTGTCAGGGTTCCATCTACCAAAAAAGCTTTTGAAATATCTTGCCTTTCTCCTTTACATCAGATGCCACATCAATACAGCTGAAGCTTTTAGAAGGCTCCACCTCCCTCTCAGACCTATGTCAAAATAATGAGAACACTGAAGGACCCCAACAAAATTCTGACAGTAGGCACACTCTCATTGGGTCTAAAGATAAAGAGATGGACAAAGAAGTAGAGGGAACTAGAGACCCGGAGGGAGATGGAGTTGTCTTTGAGACAGATCAGGAGATAAATCAGTCCACAGGAACACCTGACAACAATGAAGAGTCAACGGGTACAAATTGTGTAATGGCTGAAGGCGATGACAGCCGACCATTCAAGTGTAATGCGTGCTTAGAGGCTTTTCCTACAAGGACTGCATTAAGTGTTCACTACAACTCTGCATCCCATGTGCAATGGATGAGAACAGGATCCCTAAAACAGGGTGGTGAAAATGACACCCCAGCCACTCCCTCAGTCCCTTTTCTGTCTCGGCCATATCTATCAAACAAGCCCTACCAGTGCGCTGTTTGTCGAGTCTCTTACAACCATGCCATCACCCTGGAGAGTCATTTGAAATCTGTTTTGCACCAGACCCGCAGCAGAAATGCAGGAATCTCTGCCAACAGTGCAGCTGGAAATTCAGGAAGCAACAACATGGCTACCAACTTAGTAGTTACATCTGGGGGCAGCGCTGCACAGTTGGTTAGCACTACCACCAGCGATCGTGTCACCCCGGCAAGCCTGACAGCAGTAGCAATGACTACCAAAGACGGAGAACCAATTGAAACCCAGCCGGCTCCCTCACTGCTTTCCTCCCCTGTGGCCTCTGCTCAGGCAGTCTCAGCTTTTCTCACCCTCCTCACGTCCAGCCCAAGCTCTCTCTCTCACTCCCTCCTCCCCCCTCTGTTTGCGGCTGGTGCGTCACCTGCCACAGCCTCACCTCAGCTCATAACCCAGCCTCAGATGCTCGTCCCCTTTATCCTGAATGGGCTCCAAAGCCAGAGACTAAATCCAGAGCTTTTGACACAGTCTGTACCCTTACTAGGTCTCAATGCTGCTCAGCAAGCTATCCTGGCCCAAAGACTCGGTAGTTTACAGAACCAGTGGCCAGCTGTCGGTCACCAAGCAACCACACAAGCCTGTTCAGAAGACAACCAAACAAACAAGAGCAAAGTGAAGCAAGACACAAATGAGACGACAACTGAGGAGAAAGAGTCACTTAAGGCTGAGAAGGGGGAAAATAGGTCCATGGAATGTGGTGATGGAGAAAGAGAGATTTGTGAGGAGGATGGTAAAGGATATGCACAAGAGCTCCTCAGCGCATTGGTAAGCAAAAATAGCAAGGCTGAGTCATGTAGGATAGATGGAGATAATGAAATGAAAGCGAGCACAGCGGAGAGTGGGAACTCAGCAGATCACATGGGGGCAGATGAGAAATGGGGGGACATTGACAAGTGTAGTGACCGCTCACCGTCTGTTACCAGCAACTCAAACCTAAGTCCTACCACTTTAAATCTTATGCTTAGCCCTGATTCTACCCCTCAAAAATCTGAAGTTGGCACAAGCCCTTATGCCTCGGTCTGCTCCCCAAAATCTAGCCCCTCTAAACGCGCCTTCAATTCCTCTGATCCAACTCGTTCCCATGCTCATTTGAGGGCTTGCCACTTCTCCTCAGGCCCCCCGGTACTGTCAGAGTTTCAGATACAGGTTCTGCGTGCTTTTCTGGAGTCGCGTAGTGAGGCCGACGCGGCCAGTCCTCCCCGTGATGACTGCGAGTCGTTGGGCAGGGAGGTGGGGCTCACCGAGGCGGAGGTACGCAGGTGGCTCACAGAGGCCCGACGAGCCAAAAAGAGTCTGAAAGCTGGGGAAACAGGGCACATGAGCAGCATTGTAGCCTATGGTAAAAAATACAAGGGTCTTGATAATGAAGAGGAGGAAGGTTCTCTTACAATAGATGAGACCGAGGGTGGGGACAGCGACGAGGCCTCTGGCAGTCACGCAATGGATTTGTCCAATAGTGGAGGGCGGAAAGAGATTGGGAGGGAAAGCCAAGGGGACTCGTGTCTGACCTCAGACAATGAAGAATTCTACACCTCTGTCATTGTGAGTGATGAGGACAGCCTGAGTGGCTCCATGAGGGAGAGGCCAGGCAGCCCTGCTAAAGAGGAGGCTCTGGTAGAACTGGCAGGAGACAAGGGCTCAGGTGGAGGAAAGGTGCTGCGCTCCACCACTGTGTTCCTCTCAGACGCTGAGGATGACGATGATGCCGAGGAGGCCGCAGCTCAGAGAGCGAAGAGGAGGAAGAGGAAGAGGGAGTTGGAGGAGGTCGAGGTTAAGAAGGAGAGACTAGACCCCGACGTGGATTTACAACTAGAGGCTCAAGCTGATCCTCCTTCCCACCTTCCTATCACCATTGACCATCAACAGCTTACAAGTGGCATTCTACACCCCCTCCCTCTGTCTCTGTCCCTTACTCCATTCTCTACTCAGTTCCATAGCCCTTATGTTCTCTCTCTCCCTCCCTCAGTGGTTGGGCTCAGTGTTGCAGAAGGAGATGGAGGCAAAGTACCTGCCTTTCCAAACCCCCCTAACATCACCCGGTTCTCTGACCCTCTCATTACATCATCTCTCTCCTCCCACACCTCCCACTACATGTCTAATGGTGGAGACTGTGAGGCTGCTTTAGATCTCAGCATTGGGAAAAGCAACAGCTCAACATCTTATTCCTCCACGTCTATCACGGGTGACAAGACTTCAGCACAAAAGGGCCGTCTGCTTGACGGACTCGGTCTAAGGCCCACAGCTTTTGGGGTACCTGGGGAAGGGAGACTCATTGTGGTCAAGGTCAAACCTGAGCAAGCGACTTACAACAGCAGTGGCTTTGTCAGTGGCAATAACATGGCAAAGGCCAGCACTGTCTACATGAGGACAGAGGAGAGGGAAAAAGAGGAGCGGGACCAGAAAGGCAGGCCCAAAGCACGACGGTACCGGGACATGAGACGTTCCAGGACCATCATCCAGGCTGAGCAGCTAAATGTGCTTTATGGCTGCTATTTCAAAGACCCAAATCCTGGGAAACATGAGTTTGAGCAGATATCAGAGTGGGTCCATCTCCCGAAAAAAGTTGTACAGATCTGGTTCCAGAACATGCGGGCTAGGGAGCGCAAGGGCGAGGTTCGCTTCATCAGTGATGGCACTCTGGCAGCAGTTGGCAAACCGCTTATCAAGTTCACCTGGCCACTGTCACAACCCATCTTCTCCTGCACCCCCAAATCAAACCCCAACTCCAACAGCAGTCTCTCTACTGGAGCCAATCCAGTACGGACCCTCCCAAAGACGGAGGTGAAGAAGGAGGAAAATGTAAAAAAACAAGTTCCGAACAGGCCCAAGGTAGCCTCCTCTTCTGTGTCTTCAGTGAGCGGCAGTGTGTCTTCAGTGAGCGGCAGTGTGTCTTCAGTGAGCGGCAGTGTGTCTTCAGTGAGCGGCAGTGTGTCTTCAGTGAGCGGCAGTGTGTCTTCAGTGCCAAAGACCAAAATGGAGATGACAAACAATGTCACAATGGTCAAAATCGCCCCCAAAAGCATCGCTCCGGCCCTCGCTGTCATCCCCAAGGAAACCCGACCTCGCCCCTCTCCCAAACATGCGCCTGATGAGGAAGTGGATGATCGTAACCAAGAGAAGCCACTAGCCATGCCTGGCTCCACCAACCGCATGGTGCCAAAACTGCCCTCTACGCCAATTAGCAAGTCCCCTGCTGCGACGTCACAAAAACAAAAGGGGCTCAATTACTGGTCGGCAAAGGGCCCGTTTAAGATCAACACACTTTCTAGGGAACAGTTGGGTCTGTCAACACCCTGTACCCCCCCAGTTGTTGGTGCAACTGCTGCCCCCACTGCCATCACCATTTCTGCTGCCTCTGCTGCCACGACCGCAGCAACTACCACCACCACAACAGCAAGCCCTCAAACCACCATCAGCATTGTCACCATCGCTAAGACCGCTCCATCGGAGAGCAGCTTCCTGCACCACTCTACCACCCGCAGGCCACGCACACACCTGTCCTGTTTGCAGCTGTCCATCCTGCAGTCTTGCTATGAAACATGCGCCCACCCTAACGCGCTGGAGTGTGAGGCAGTAGGGACGGAGCTGGGGCTGCCGCTCAAGGTGGTGCAGATCTGGTTCCAGAATACCCGCGCCAAGGAGAAACGCTGGAGGCTGCAGCAGGAGAAACTGGTGAGACATTTTACTGTACAGTATGCAATGAATTGGTATATGTGTGTGTGTGTGTGTATATACAGTGAGGGGAAAAAAGTATTTGATCCCCTGCTGATTTTGTATGTTTGCCCACTGACAAAGACATGATCAGTCTATAATTTTAATGGTTGGTTTATTTGAACAGTCAGAGACAGAATAACAACCAAAAAAATCCAGAAAAACGCATGTCAAAAATGTTATGAATTAATTTGCATTTTAATGAGGGAAATAAGTATTTGACCCCTCTGCAAAACATGACTTAGTACTTGGTGGCAAAACCCTTGTTGGCAATCAGAGGTCAGACGTTTCTGGTAGTTGGCCACCAGGTTTGCACACATCTCAGGAGGGATTTTGTTCCACTCCTCTTTGCAGATCTTCTCCAAGTCATTAAGGTTTTGAGGCTGACGTTTGGCAACTCGAACCTTCAGCTCCCTCCACAGATTTTCTATGGGATTAAGGTCTGGAGACTGGCTAGGCCACTCCGGGACCTTAATGTGCTTCTTCTTGAGCCACTCCTTTGTTGCCTTGGCCGTGTGTTTTGGGTCATTGTCATGCTGGAATACCCATCCACGACCCATTTTCAATGCCCTGGCTGAGGGAAGGAGGTTCTCACCCAAGATTTGACAGTACATGGCCCCGTCCATCGTCCCTTTGATGCTGTGAAGTTGTCCTGTCCCCTTAGCAGAAAAACACCCCCAAAGCATAATGTTTCCACCTCCATGTTTGACGGTGGGGATGGTGTTCTTGGGGTCATAGGCAGCATTCCTCCTCCTCCAAACACGGCGAGTTGAGTTAATGCCAAAGAGCTGGATTTTGGTCTCATCTGACCACAACACTTTCACCCAGTTCTCCTCTGAATCATTCAGATGTTCATTGGCAAACTTCAGACGGCCCTGTATATGTGCTTTCTTGAGCAGGGGGACCTTGCGGGCGTTGCAGGATTTCAGTCCTTTACGGCCATAGTGTGTTACCAATTGTTTTCTTGGTGACTATGGTCCCAGCTGCCTTAAGATCATTGACAAGATCCTCCCGTGTAGTTCTGGGCTGATTCCTCACCGTTCTCATGAGCATTGCAACTCCACGAGGTGAGATCTTGCATGGAGCCCCAGGCCGAGTGAGATTGACAGTTATTTTGTGTTTCTTCCATTTGCAAATAATCGCACCAACTGTTGTCACCTTCTCACCAAGTTGCTTGGTGATGGTCTTGTAGCCCATTCCAGCCTTGTGTAGGTCTACAATCTTGTCCCTGACATCCTTGGAGAGCTCTTTGGTCTTGGCCATGATGGAGAGTTTGGAATCTGATTGATTGATTGCTTCTGTGGACAGGTGTCTTTTATACAGTTAATAAACTGAGATTAGGAGCACTCCCTTTAAGAGTGTGCTCCTAATCTCAGCTCATTACCTGTATAAAAGACACCTGGGAGCCAGAAATATTTCTGATTGAGAGTTTTTTTTTTTGTTATTCTCTCTCACTGTTCAAATAAACCTACCATTAAAATGATAGACTGATCATTTCTTTGTCAGTGGGCAAACAAACAAAATCAGCAGGGGATCAAATACTTTTTCCCTCACTGTGTGTGTGTGTGTGTGTGTGTATATATATATATATATATATACACACACACACACACACACACAGTTGAAGTTTACATACACATAGGTTGGAGTAATTAAAATACGTTTTTCAACCACTCCACAAATTTCTTGTTAACAAACTATAATTTTGGCAAGTCGGTTCGGACATCTACTTTGTGCATGACACAAGTAATTTTTTCCAACAATTGTTTACAGACAGATTATTTCACTTATAATTCACTGTATCACAATTTCAGTGGATCAGAAGTTTACATACACTAAGTTGACTGTGCCTTTAAACAGCTTGGAAAATTCCAGAAAATGATGTCATGGCTTTAGAAGCTTCTGATAGGCTAATTGACATAATTTGAGTCAATTGGAGGTGTACCTGTGGATGTATTTCAAGGCCTACTTTCAAACTCAGTGCCTCTTTGCTTGACATCATGGGAAAATCAAAAGAAATCAGCCAAGACCTCAGAAAAAAGTCTGGTTCATCTTTGGGAGCAATTTCCAAACGCCTGAAGGTACCACGTTCATCTGTACAAACAATAGTACGCAAGTATAAATACCATGGGACCACGCAGCCGTCATACCGCTCAGGAAGGAGATGCGTTCTGTCTCCTAGAGATGAATGTACTTTGGTGCAAAAAGTGCAAATCAATCCCAGAACAACAGCAAAGGACCTTGTGAAGATGCTGGAAGAAACCGGTACAAAAGTATCAATATCCACAGTAAAACGAGTCCTATATCGACATAACCTGAAAGGCTGCTTAGCAAGGAAGAAGCCACTGCTCAAAAACCGCAATAAAAAAGCCAGACTACGGTTTGCAACTGCACATGGGGAAATTATCTTACTTTTTGGAGAAATGCCCTCTGGTCTGATGAAACAAAAATAGAACTTTTTGGCCATAATGACCATCGTTATGTTTGGAAGAAAAAGGTGGACGCTTGCAAGCTGCAAGCCGAAGAACACCATCCCAACCGTGAAGCACGGAGGTGGCAGCATCATGCTGTGGGGGTGCTTTGCTGCAGGAGGGACTGGTGCACTTTACAAAATAGATGGCATCATGAGGAAGGAAAATTATGTGGATATATTGAAGCAACATCTCAAAACATCAGTCAGGAAGTTGAAGCTTGGTCGCAAATGGGTCTTCCAAATGGACAATGACTCAAAGCATACTTTCAAAATTGTGGCAAAATGGCTTAAGGACAACAAAGTCAAGGTATTGGAGTGGCCATCACAAAGCCCTGACCTCAATCCTATAGAAAATGTGTGGGCAGAACTGAAAAAGCGTGTCAGAGCAAGGAGGCCTACAAACCTGACTCAGTTACACCAGCTCTGTCAGGAGGAATGGGCAAAAATTCACCCAACTTATTGTGGGAAGCTTGTGAAAGGCTACCCGAAACGTTTGACCCAAGTTAAACAATTTAAAGGCAATGCTACCAAATACTAATTGAGTGTATGTAAACTTCTGACCCACTGGGGATGTGCTGAAAGAAATAAAAGCTGAAATAAATTATTCTCTCTACTATTATTCTGACATTTCACATTCTTAAAATAAAGTGGTGATCCTAACTGACCTAAAACAGGGAATTTGTACTAGGATTAAATGTCAGGAATTGTGAAAAACTGAGTTTAAATGTATTTGGCTAAGGTGTATGGAAACTTCCGATTTCAACTGTGTGTGTGTATATGTGTATATATATATATACACACACACACACACACAGTGGGGGAAAAAAAGTATTTAGTCAGCCACCAATTATGCAAGTTCTCCCACTTAAAAAGATGAGAGAGGCCTGTAATTTTCATCATAGGTACACGTCAACTATGACAGACAAATTGAGAAGAAAAAAAAATCCAGAAAATCACAATGAATTTATGTGCAAATTATGGTGGAAAATAAGTATTTGGTCACCTACAAACAAGCAAGATTTCTGGCTCTCACAGACCTGTAACTTCTTCTTTAAGAGGCTCCTCTGTCCTCCACTCGTTACCTGTATTAATGGCACCTGTTTGAACTTGTTATCAGTATAAAAGACACCTGTCCACAACCTCAAACAGTCACACTCCAAACTCCACTATGGCCAAGACCAAAGAGCTGTCAAAGGACACCAGAAACAAAATTGTAGACCTGCACCAGGCTGGGAAGACTGAATCTGCAATAGGTAAGCAGCTTGGTTTGACGAAATCAACTGTGGGAGCAATTATTAGGAAATGGAAGACATACAAGACCACTGATAATCTCCCTCGATCTGGGGCTCCACGCAAGATCTCACCCCGTGGGGTCAAAATGATCACAAGAACAGTGAGCAAAAATCCCAGAACCACACGGGGGGACCTAGTGAATGACCTGCAGAGAGCTGGGACCAAAGTAACAAAGCCTACCATCAGTAACACACTACGCCGCCAGGGATTCAAATCCTGCAGTGCCAGACGTGTCCCCCTGTTTAAGCCAGTACCTGTCCAGGCCCGTCTGAAGTTTGCTAGAGTGCATTTGGATGATCCAGAAGAGGATTGGGAGAATGTCAGATGAAGCCAAAATAGAACTTTTTGGTAAAAACTCAACTCGTCGTGTTTGGAGGACAAAGAATGCTGAGTTGCATCCAAAGAACACCATACCTACTGTGAAGCATGGGGGTGGAAACATCATGCTTTGGGGCTGTTTTTCTGCAAAGGGACCAGGACGACTGATCCGTGTAAAGGAAAGAAAGAATGGGGCCAAGTATCGTGAGATTTTGAGTGAAAACCTCCTTCCATCAGCAAGGGCATTGAAGATGAAACGTGGCTGGGTCTTTCAGCATGACAATGATCCCAAACACACCGCCCGGGCAACGAAGGAGTGGCTTCGTAAGAAGCATTTCAAGGTCCTGGAGTGGCCTAGCCAGTCTCCAGATCTCAACCCCATAGAAAATCTTTGGAGGGAGTTGAAAGTCTGTGTTGCCCAGCGACAGCCCCAAAACATCACTGCTCTAGAGGAGATCTGCATGGAGGAATGGGCCAAAATAACAGCAACAGTGTGTGAAAACCTTGTGAAGACTTACAGAAAACGTTTGACCTGTGTCATTGCCAACAAAGGGTATATAACAAAGTATTGAGAAACATTTGTTATTGACCACATACTTATTTTCCACCATAATTTGCAAATAAATTCATTAAAAATCCTACAATGTGATTTTCTGCATTTTTTTTTTCTCATTTTGTCTGTCATAGTTGACGTGTACCTATGATGAAAATTACAGGCCTGTCTCATCTTTTTAAGTGGGAGAACTTGCACAATTGGTGGCTGACTAAATACTTTTTTTCCCCACTGTATGTGTGTGTGTATATATATATATATATACTGCTCAAAAAAATAAAGGGAACACTTAAACAACACAATGTAACTCCAAGTCAATCACACTTCTGTGAAATCAAACTGTCCACTTAGGAAGCAACACTGATTGACAATAAATTTCACATGCTGTTGTGCAAATGGAATAGACAACAGGTGTAAATTATAGGCAATTAGCAAGACACCCCCAATAAAGAAGTGGTTCTGCAGGTGGTGACCACAGACCACTTCTCAGTTCCTATGCTTCCTGGGTGATGTTTTGGTCACTTTTGAATGCTGGCGGTGCTTTCACTCTAGTGGTAGCATGAGACGGAGACTACAACCCACACAAGTGGCTCAGGTAGTGCAGCTCATCCAGGATGGCACATCAATGCGAGCTGTGGCAAGAAGGTTTGCTGTGTCTGTCAGCGTAGTGTCCAGAGCATGGAGGCGCTACCAGGAGACAGGCCAGTACATCAGGAGACGTGGAGGAGGCCGTAGGAGGGCAACAACCCAGCAGCAGGACCGCTACCTCCGCCTTTGTGCAAGGAGGAGCAGGAGGAGCACTGCCAGAGCCTTGCAAAATGACCTCCAGCAGGCCACAAATGTGCATGTGTCTGCTCAAACGGTCAGAAACAGACTCCATGAGGGTGGTATGAGGGCCTGACGTCCACAGGTGGGGGTTGTGCTTACAGCCCAACACCGTGCAGGACGTTTGGCATTTGCCAGAGAACACCAAGATTGGCGAATTCGCCACTGGCGCCCTATGCTCTTCACAGATTAAAGCAGGTTCACACTGAGCACATGTGACAGACGTGACAGAGTCTGGAGACGCCGTGGAGAACGTTCTGCTGCCTGCAACATCCTCCAGCATGACCGGTTTGGCGGTGGGTCAGTCATGGTGTGGGGTGGCATTTCTTTGGGGGGCCGCACAGCCCTCCATGTGCTCACCAGAGGTAGCCTGGCTGCCATTAGGTACCGAGATGAGATCCTCAGACCCCCTGTGAGACCATATGCTGGTGCGGTTGGCCCTGGGTTCCTCCTAATGCAAGACAATGCTAGACCTCATGTGGCTGGAGTGTGTCAGCAGTTCCTGCAAGAGGAAAGCATTGATGCTATGGACTGGCCCGCCCGTTCCCCAGACCTGAATCCAATTGAGCACATCTGGGACATCCACCAACGCCACGTTGCACCACAGACTGTCCAGGAGTTGGCGGATGCTTTAGTCCAGGTCTGGGAGGAGATCCCTCAGGAGACCATCCGCCACCTCATCAGGAGCATGCCCAGGCGTTGTAGGGAGGTCATACAGGCACGTGGAGGCCATACACACTACTGAGCCTCATTTTGACTTGTTTTAAGGACATTACATCAAGTTTACAACAAGTTGGATCAGCCTGTAGTGTGGTTTTCCACTTTAATTTTGAGGGTGACTCCAAATCCAGACCTCCATGGGTTGATACATTTAATTTCCATTGATAATTTTTGTGTGATTTTGTTGTCAGCACATTCAACTATGTAAAGAAAAAAGTATTTAATAAGATTATTTAATTCATTCAGATCTAGGATGTGTTGTTTAAGTGTTCCCTTTATTTTTTTGAGCAGTGTATATATAAAGGACAGGTTTTCACAGAAAGAGATTAAGCCCAGTTGTGGACAAGAAATATATTTCTAAAGGAGCTCTCCATTGTGCGTGTTAGGCCAGGACTAGGCTGTGTCTGGGAAACCAGCCCTAAAACTTTGCTTCTTGTCTAGAACTGTATATATGTACAGTACCAGTCAAAAGTTTGGACACACCTACTCATTCAAGGGTTTTCTTTATTTTTTACTGTTTTCTACATTGTAGAATAGTAGTGAAGACATCAAAACTATGAAATAACACCTATGGAGTCATGTAGTAACCAAAAAAGCGTTAAACAAATCAAAATATATTTTGAGATTCTTTAAATAGCCACCCTTTGCCTTGATGACAGCTTTGCACACTCTTGGCATTCTCTTAACCAGCTTCACCTGGAATGCTTTTCCAACAGTCTTGAAGGAGTTCCCACATATTCTTAGCACTTGTTGGATGCTATTCCTTCACTCTGCCGTCCGACACATCCCAAACCATCTCAATTGGGTTGAGGTTGGGGAATTGTGGAGGCCAGGTCATCACTCTCCTTCTTGGTCAAATAGCAGCCCTTACACGGCCTGGAGGTGTGTTGGGTCATTGTCCTGTTGAAAAACAAATGATAGTCTCCTGAGTGGCGCAGTGGTCTAAGGCACTGAATCGCAGTGCTAGCTGTGCCACTAGAGATCCTGGTTCGAATCCAGGCTCTGTCGCAGCTGGCCGCGACTGGGAGACTCATGGGCGGCGCACAATTGGCCTAGTGTCGTCCAGGGTAGGGGAGGGAATGGCCAGCAGGGATGTAAAAAAAAATGTATTCACTAACTGTAAGTCGCTCTGGATAAGAGCGTCTGCTAAATGACTAAAATGTAAATGTAAATGTAATAGTCCCACTAAGCCCAAACCAGATGGGATGACGTATCCCAGCAGAATGCTGTGGTAGCCATCCTGGTTAAATGTGCATTGAATTCTAAATAAATCATAGACAGTGTCACCAGCAAAGCACCATAACACCACCACCTCCATGCTTTACAGTGGGAACTACACATGCAGAGATCTTCTGTTCACCCACACCGCGTCTCACAAAGACACAGCGGTTGGAACCAAAAATCTCAAATTTGGACACCAGACCAAAGGACAAATTTCCACCGGTCTAATGTCCATTGTTCGTGTTTCTTGGCCCAAGCAGGTCTCTTCTTCTTATTGGTGTCCTTTAGTAGTGGTTTCTTTGCAGCAATTCGACCATGAAGGCCTGATTCACACAGTCCCCTCTGAACAGTTGATGTTGAAATGTGTCCGTTACTTGAAGTCTGTGAAGCACTTATTTGGGCTGCAATTTCTGAGGCTGGTAACTCTAGTGAACTTATCCTCTGCAGCAGAGGTAACTCTGGGTCTTCCATTCCTGTGGTGTTCCTCATTATAGCCAGTTTCATCATAGCGCTTGATGGTTTTTGCGACTGCACTTGAAGATACTTTCAAAGTTCTTGAAATGTTCCGTTTTGACTGACCTTCATGTCTTAAAGTAACGATGGACTGTCATTTCTCTTTGCTTATTTGAGCTGTTCTTGCCATAATATGGACTTGGTCTTTTACCAAATAGGGCTATCTTCTGTATACCACCCCTACTTTGTCACAACTCAACTGGTTGGCTCAAACGCATTAAGAAGGAAAGAAATTCCACAAATTAACTTTTAAGAAGGCACACCTGTTAATTGAAATGCATTCCAGGTGACTACCTCATGAAGCTGGTTGAGAGAATGCAAAGAGTGTGCAAAGCTGTCATCAAGGTAAATGGTGGCTATTTGAAGAATCTCAAATATATATATTTTTGTTACTACATGATTCCATATGTGTTATTTCATAGTTTTGATGTCGTCACTATTATTCTACAATGTACAAATAAAGAAAAACCCTTGAATGTAGGTGTGTCCAAACTTTTGACTGGTAGTATAAGTTGAGGTAGTACACCAGTGACCGTTTGGCCTTCTTGTTGAACATGCATGTCAGAAGCCAGTGTTGGAGTAACATCTTGGTCTCTGCCCCTCTCTCTCCCCCTTGTAGTCTCCTGTGTCGTCAGATCCCTCCCAGAAGGTTGACATGAGCTCGGGCAGCTACCTGCAGTACAACGCTCTGCGAGCCCACCGTCCCATCCTTCCCAAACCGGTTCAGCTGACCGTCCTGGAGCCCTCTTCTCCCCCAGCCGGGGGCCAGCCTGCAGGCCGAGAGACGCTGAGAGGCAAGTGCGAGGCCTGCAACACAGGCTTTGAGTCCAGAGCAGCAGCAAGATCCCATGTCTTCTCCCTTCGGCATCTAGCCACTCTGAGAACCACTAACTTTGGCCAGCCGGCGACCATCGTCAACAATAAATCTGATACCGGGTCTATTTCTGTTTCCGCCTCCGGGTCTTGTGTGGAGGACCCTCCAGCTTCCCCACCCCCAACTCCAACCCCACCCCCAGCCAGCAGCACCAGCTAAGGCACCCGACTCCGGACCTATTGGGCTCCTTACATTTTTATAAACACATTGGGCACTGGTCCTCCAAGCTAATATTCTTTAGTTTCTGATGGAACGGCCCAATCACCTACCACCCTTGCTCCCCCTCTCATTGGAAGTCTTTCTGCCGAGTTCTTGTGTCCAAACTGGATACAGTTGTTGTCACACTGCTTCACCAAAAGTTATGAAATGAGTGAACATTTACCAATCCCCTTTGATATTGTCCTGGGCTGCGGTTAGAATCTTTGTCGCCACATCCTTGTCCTAAACCATCCTGGCCCAGTTTTTTTAAATCACTCTTACAAAACGTGTGTATTATCCCTAAAGACTGTGCTTATGCAAAAACAATTAGGCCATTATCTGACAGACTTAAAATATTCTTATCCTCGTGACCTGTAACTGGATAGATTTGACCAGAAGAAATGAGAAGTAGCTCTGTTTTAGTGGCGTTGAACTTGCCGTCTTGATTGGGTCTGTATCAGTACAGACGTTCTGTCAGGATACAGGTGGAGTGTGTTCAGAGATGGTTCATGCCACGTCACATGGAATCGAAAGGTACTTTTAACTGATGGGACTAGAATTGGCCTGTTAAACTGAACAGATGATCCCCTCCTGTAAACACACTGGCTGCGGCTGAAATGGAATCCTATTCCCTATATAGTGCACTACTTTCGACCAGAGCTCCATGGGCCCTGGTCAAAAGTAGTTCACTATATAGGGTGCCATTTGGGATGCACCCATTCACTGTGTTCTCATGACAATCCTCTATAGACAGGGAAAAGAGAGGCTGAAGAGGGCAGACTCTCATTATACGGCACTTTGATGCGTTTTACATTGTATGAAACGTTTTTATTCTTAAGCGTTCTTATGCAGAGCGTCTTTCTACTTAATGAAAGATGTGCGTGTTGCATGTTGGATGTCTTATTGTAAGTCATGAATTAAATTGAAGCATTGTTTTTGGTACTTGCAGTCTGTCAAAAAAAGATCTACAGTGAGGGGAAAAAAGTATTTGATCCCCTGCTGATTTTGTATGTTTGCCCACTGACAAAGAAATGATCAGTCTATAATTTTAATGGTAGGTTTATTTGAACAGTGAGAGACAGAATAACAACAAAGAAATCCAGACAAATGCATGTCAAAAATGTTATAAATTGATTTGCATTTTAAATTAGGGAAATAAGTATTTGACCCCTCTGCAAAACATGACTTAGTACTTGGTGGCAAAACCCTTGTTGGCAATCAGAGGTCAGACGTTTCTTGTAGTTGGCTACCAGGTTTGCACACTTCTCAGGAGGGATTTTGTCCCACTCCTCTTTGCAGATCTTCTCCAAGTCATTTAAGGTTTTGAGGCTGACGTTTGGCAACTCGAACCTTCAGCTCCCTCCACAGATTTTCTATGGGATTAAGGTCTGGAGACTGGCTAGGCCACTCCAGGACCTTAATGTGCTTCTTCTTGAGCCACTCCTTTGTTGCCTTGGCCGTGTGTTTTGGGTCATTGTCATGCTGGAATACCCATCCACGACCCATTTTCAATGCCCTGGCTGAGGGAAGGAGGTTCTCACCCAAGATTTGACGGTACATGGCCCCGTTCATCGTCCATTTGATGCGGTGAAGTTGTCCTGTCCCCTTAGCAGAAAAACACCCCCAAAGCATAATGTTTGAGTTGATGCCAAAGAGCTCAATTTTGGTATCATCTGACCACAACACTTTCACCCAGTTCTCCTCTGAATCATTCAGATGTTCATTGGCAAACTTCAGACGGGCCTGTATATGTGCTTTCTTGAGCAGGGGGACCTTGCGGGCGCTGCAGGATTTCAGTCCTTCACGGCGTAGTGTGTTACCAATTGTTTTCTTGGTGACTATGGTCCCAGCTGCCTTGAGATCATTAACAAGATCCTCCCGTGTAGTTCTGGGCTGATTCCTCACCGTTCTCATGATCATTGCAACTCCACAAGGTGAGATCTTGCATGGAGCCCCAGGCCGAGGGAGATTGACAGTTATATTGTGTTTCTTCCATTTGCGAATAATCGCACCAACTGTTGTCACCTTCTCACCAAGCTGCTTGGCGATGGTCTTGTAGCCCATTCCAGCCTTGTGTAGGTCTACAATCTTGTCCCTGACATCCTTGGAGAGCTCTTTGGTCTTGGCCATGGTGGAGAGTTTGGAATCTGGTTGATTGATTGCTTTTGTGGACAGGTATCTTTTATACAGGTAACAAACTGAGATTAGGAGCACTCCCTTTAAGAGTGTGCTCCTAATCTCAGCTCGTTACCTGTATAAAAGACACCTGGGAGCCAGAAATCTTTCTGATTGAGAGGGAGTCAAATACTTATTTCCCTCATTAAAATGAAAATCAATTTATAACATTTTTGACATGCGTTTTTCTGGATTTTTTTGTTATTCTGTCTCTCACTGTTCAAATAAACCTACCATTCAAATTATAGACTGATCATGTCTTTGTCAGTGGGCAAACGTACAAAATCAGCAGGGGATCAAATACTTTTCCCTCACTGTACATTGAGTCATTTAAACACCAAACAAAATGGATCAGACCTTACTGCTGTGCAAGGAAAGTCTTAGTCCTGACACTTGTTAAATTATTTCTCAATTTATTAATTCACTACTGGTGTGAAATATCTATTGAATGAATGTGGAGCAAGAAAATAACATATTTCCTCCCTTTTTTGTCAATGAAAATATCCACAACAAATCATTGCAAGCATAAGATTGAAACAAGTGTTATTCCTTATAACCATCAATATACACTGAACAAAAATATAAACGCAACGTAAAATGTTGGTCCCATGTTTCATGAGCTGAAATGAAAGATCCCTGAAATTTTCCATAGGCACAAAAACCTTATTTCTCTCATTTTGTGCACAAATGTGTTTGCGTCCCTGTTAGTGAGCATTTCTCCTTTGCCAAGAAAATCCATCCACGTGACAGGTGTGGCATATCAAGAAGCTGATCATCAGAAACATGATCATTACACAGGTGCACCTTGTGCTGGGGACAAAAGGCCACTTAAAAAATTTGCAGTTTTGTCAACACAGATGTCTCAATATTTGAGGGAGTGTGCAATTGGCACGCTGACTGCAGGAATGGCCACCAGAGCTGTTGCCAGAGAATGGAATGTTAATTTCTCTTCCATAAGCCGCCTCCAACGTTGTTTTAGAGAATTTGGCAGTACGTCCAACTGGCCTCACAACCACAGACCACTTGTATGGCGTCGTGTGGGCGAGCAGTTTGCCCCATGGTGGGGTTATGGTATGGGCAGGCATAAGCTACGGACAACGAACACAATTGCATTTTATTGATTGCAGTTTGAATGCACAGCAAGACCGTGACGAGATCCTGAGGCCCGTTTTATAAAAAAATGTTAAGGTATCCGTGACCAACAGATGCATATCTGTATTCACAGTCATGTGAAATCCATAGATTAGGGCCTAATGATTTTATTTCAATTGACTGATTTCCTCATATGAACTGTAACTCAGTAAAATCTTTGAAATTGTTGCATGTTACGTTTTATATTTTTGTTCAGTGTACGTCAACTTCCTGGGGAGGTCAAATGAAACAGACTTGACAACAAGGAATAGAAAAGAACAGGGTTTTAATTTCTGTGATTTCATTTTGTTTTTTGTCTTGAAACATGTGGTTGCAAGCTAATACTTGTTATTTGTGTACTGGGTAGACATAATGCAACCAGTCCAGAAACCAGCAGAAGGGAGTCAGTTGGGTACACTTGTAGTCACCTTTGTGTTACTGGGGATACTTTTGTAAGCAATTGGGACATGCAAAAAGTCAAGACCGCACAAACTATGAAAGGTGCTGTTTTGAAGGACACATAAAATACTAAAGATGTTTTTCCTTCTGTTTTGTTGTATGTTAGTATTAATGTTACTATTAATAGTTTTAACAAAATGCAAAACTACAAAAATTACACTTTTTATTTTTTATTCTTTTTATAAATATATTAAGAAATAAATAAATGATATTCCAAAGTTATCCTTCCTATGCTTTCTGTCATAAAAAAAAAACCAAAAAGCAATCTTGAGGTTGACAGAGCAGGAGAGTTATTCTTCATGCAAACTGTAAAGGAACTCCCATGGCTTGACACTTGAGCCAGTCCAAGATTTTTACCATGAGCTACAGATGAATGCATTTCAGCCTTCACAACATGGGGCAGGCACTTGATTTGGCTCATAGACTACAAGTTTGAAAATATCCATAATTACTTCTTTTTTTTCTCCTGGTGTCGAGCTGTAGCTTGTGTCTAAAACAAGGACTGGGTTGCAGTGCTGTGCTCCAAGTCTGGGATCTGTCCAAGGTAGTTTTATAGAGATCTGCTTTTTATTCTAATCATTTTTCATTGTCACTTGATTATCACTATTGTTATAACTGTACTACTTCTGCTATTTTTACCATTTACTGTTTTGATTATTATTGACTCATAACGGTTTTGATGTCTCTTTTACTCAAAGAGATTTTATATGAATATTGAACAATAATGGTGGCAGTGTGTTATAAGATGTTAGAATATTGATTTAAGCTTTTTTTTCCTTACTTGTACTTTCATTTTGTGTTGGATCGCAATTCGGTTTTCTTTGGTATACAGAAAATAAATTTAATTGAACAACAGAACGGGTCTAATTACTATGTTATGGGTATGTCAGTCTGGTGTACTACTCCTCATCTTGTTAAATGAATCTTATCAGTCACTTGTAATAGTCTACATGTTATCATAACCAAGAGAGTTGAGGTATTTACAAATTCACTGAACATAGCATAGCTGACTTTTTTGCCATATTACTACTTGGGCTCTGCTGCATGTCTAGTCGGACTAGTTGGTAGGGAGGGGAGAGAGAGTTCTGTCTCTGTCAGGAACCTGGGCTTTTGGCTTGGATGGTAGAGCTCTCCTCTGGACCATGGGATAATACGATCGCACCCCACTATGCCACTTCTCTCTCTATAACTCAGTTGGCTACATTGGTGGCAGGGGTGGGATGCCTATAGGTCCTTTGGAAACGCATGGGGGTGTGGATGGTTCTAGAGGGGATTACAGTAGCATAGGGTGATGAGAGTTCTACTCTCTGAGGAGCTCTCGATATTTAGTTATTAAGCAGCCAGCCATTTAGTTTCTAGATTACAACCTAATCTGCAACCCAACCTGATCTGGTAATATAATAAAAACAAATGGTAGAAGTAAACATTCAGCTATGCTTTTTTTTAATAACACTTTCTCTCACTACACTTTTCTTGCAATAACTTCAACCACCATCATATTTGTTCAGCCATCCCTATGGGGAAAGAATAGGATTTGGGATTAAACACCGAAAATAAGGTCTGAGGTTAACACAGGTTTAGGAGCTATTATACGTTTTGTTCTATTGGATAATAGCAGTCAGTTAACAGCCTAGGTGATTCTTTAATTTTTTATTACATTTTTTATTATCCAAAAACCCTCCAAAAACACAATTTTCCTCATTCATAGGCTTTGTCAAACGAACCATGGCGGAATTAGCGCCTACAAAAAGACGCCATTAATGATAATGCAGTAATAGGTCGCAAAACAAATAGGGGAGTGGGTTTTGTGATTGACAGATTTCTAATCGAATCAGATGTTTGAAGTGTAAACCAAGATTTTGTAAAAAGGGATAAATGTGTTGCCAGATATCCAATAGACGCAGGGGTGTGTGTCTAAAATCCTCAACTGACTAATAAGATTGCGAGTTTACGGCCGCAGTGATACGTTACTCCACCCCCAGTTTCCATTTCTGAACTGAGGGACACGGCGCACGAGAAGAATCCTCGATTTTATGTATATTTCTTCATGTAAATAAACTGTAGATTATCGTCAGAAAATTCGCGACATAAAACTGAATTAGCCACTAGCCTGTGAAATCGTAGCATATATTATCCGTTGAACCCGTTCGGACAGAGGCTAGAGTCGAAGCTGGCCTTTTATCTCACGTTTTAACTTTCCTAAGCGGCGTGTTCCGCCGTATTTTTTTTTCTTTGACCCACTCACTCTCCCCCTGTGCGAGTAGTGGCCTGTAACGTTGATTTAGCCACGAGGCGCGTCGGATCAACCGGAATTGGGCGATGGCGGAGTTCGGAAACGGACTGGACTCAGGAATGACGGAGGAATCCCTGCTGGACTCAGACCCAGGGCACCCAGAACTAGAAGACCCGGGTGTTGGCGATGAGGAGCCGGGATTAGAGGAAGGAGAGGCCGCTATCGAGGACCCGGTAAGTGAAGGGCATAGTTTATGCCCAAAACCTCATTTAAAGTTGAGACAGTGTGTTTTGTACGATATGTATTGCGAGTGTAAACACGTTATTTTAAGATGGGTTTAGCTATATTCCTATACCCCGTGGTGGTATGCGACTGTGACTCTTATCTCCTGGTCGATATAACCGCCATTGTGGCTCACGCAGTGCAGTAGAAATGGGTGGTGACATGCGTGGATTTTGGCGGCCATGTTGGCGCAGCAGTGGTGGTAGTTTCTCTGCACCAGAGATGTCGAACTAGTAGGGGGAAAAAATCTTCGTCGCTAAAATGCGAGACGGAGATGTAGACGGGCGAGGGTAGGACAGGCCGCCATTAGCCGCCGCATTGCGAGTGTATCCGCAGACACGGCGAGAGCTCACGGTAAACACGCCTCCTTTATTTTCTCATACACTGACAGCTGCTGAAATAGAAGCGCTGAGGCGCATACAGAATATGATAGTCAATTAACAGTCATTGCTAGCTACAAGCAAGCATTGTAATGGGCTGTTAGTTATCCTTCTAACCTCATATAGCAAAAATGCTAGCAAAGGGTATGCGGCACTTGCGCTGTTGTAGGTAGGATGGATATGGACATTTAGGCTGGCTATAGCGGAGGGAGCCGAATAACTAACGTTAGCTAATTGGGACGATGATGACATGCACCTGACATGTTCATCCTCCCGCTTAAGGCATTTAGAAGGACAAGCAAAACACAAGCAATTTTGTGTGAACGTTTAGTCTTTGATGTAATCTTGAGAATGTATTATCTGTTGATACATGAGTGGGTCATGGATATTACTGTAGTTGTGTGCAAAGATGCGGATTGCCAATACTCTTAAATTAAAGCTGTTGGTTTGCGTTTGAATGTTGCCTTGCTACAATATTTCAGATTTTATACGCACGTGTGATTTGTGGTCTTTGACATAGAATGTGTTCGAAAGCAGTTCTGGGGGTGCAGTATTTTTTTTTAGGGCTGGGCTCGCATCCTTCGGGGTTTTTTTAGGGCTGGGCTTGCATCCTAAAATATTTTCAGAAGGGGGAGGGAGGGAAGAGAGGACACACTAAATATGCAACAAAATACAGCCAGGTATCAGTGATGACCGAGTCAAATAAGCCATGTAGTTGCCATGAATTTCAGTGTCCTTTTGAAGCCTGTCAAAGCTGTTGGATTTGTCTATTAGATGTGGATGTCATGTATGACATCCCCAAGACCTGGAATGGATTTAACTGCAATGCAAGTAGTGTCAGTCAGTGAGTGCATGTCTATATAGCTGAGGATGGCTCTGGAGCGAGAATGCTGCGGTGTCAGTGGAGTGTCTGAAATGAATGGTGAATAAATGCTGCCTGTTACAAAGACCCAGCCAGTGGTCATGTGCCAGGCTGTTCTAATCAGAAGCCAGTGTAGAAACGGGGTCAGCTCAGGCTGCTGACATTTTTAAGTGTTATGTGCATGCAGGTCATGGGTGAATATGATGAATTCATTCCTTTTGGTTATTTTATTTTTATTTTCTTCCGCTGATGTGTGTGTCAAGCCTGCTGACTGGTGTTCTTTGTAATTGATGGGTGTGTCTGTATTGTTGATTTTTTTAAAATTTATTTTTTTATTTATTTTTTCAGGAGCTGGAGGCGATCAAAGCCCGGGTTCGAGAGATGGAGGAGGAAGCAGAAAAGCTGAAGGAGTTACAGAACGAGGTGGAGAAACAGATGAACCTTAGCCCTCCACCAGGTGAGTTTATGTGGAAGGAAAGGGTAATGAAGTGCCTCTGAGAATGTTTCCCAAAAACAACTGTTTGAGAACACTGAATGAATGTTGTTTTTCACTGAAGTTTCCAGAGAGCAGATACAAGACAGATTAATATCAGACTCATCCAAATCTATATCAGTTTGTTCTGAAGTTCACCATTTTAAATGTCACTCATCATTGCTCAATTTTGCTCTCAATAGCTGGTCCCGTCATCATGTCCATCGAGGAGAAAATGGAAGCCGACGCAAGATCTATCTACGTTGGAAACGTAAGGCTTCGCCTCTCCTTAACAACCTCAGATGTTGTTTGGGTTGCTCTTAGGGATGTAACGATTCACCAATACGCATCGGCCCCACGTTCAAATGTTTACGATCCAAATGCATCGGAACGCGGGAGCACAAACCAATCCAAATAAAGCATGCATCGATCAGAAAACCGTCCAAAATTTTACGAATCGCCCGATTCACTAATGTTTTTACTCGTATTGTTTTATCTGTTGTGACAATTGATGCGTCCTCTCCTTCAGTTCAGTAACCTATTGAGCTTTTATGCATGTAACTACTGTATAACTGTCAAACAACAGCGCGGGAGACAGCTGCTCTTGCCAACGAGAGGTCGGCCTATCCCTGTTCTAATAGGCTATTCGTACATTTGTGCGGCACCTACAGCATTCATATGCATGTAAAATGGCTTTAACTGGAGTAACCAATGTAATTAGCTGGGTCATTGTTACCAAATCCGCTGTAGAAAATGGAGTGTAGCCTACCAGAGTGGACGCAACTCCCATCCAACTGCTGATTGGGGTTTTCAATCATTCAGATTCGATTTAGATTGTTTTAATAAAAAATTGAAAATAAATGTGTCCATGCCACACAAAAAAGTGCATAGACTCCTATCGAACTAAATCGCATCAATTCGTTCCCCTAATCAAACGAATCCCTCGACGAACCTGTGCCCCCGCACATTGACCCCTGTATATAGCCTCCCTACTGTTATTTTATTTTACTGATCTTTAATGATTTTTTACTTATCTATTTCTTTACTTAACACTTATTCTTCTTAAAACTGCATTGTTGGTTAAGGGCTTGTAAGTAAGCATTTATCTGTAAGGTTGTATTCGGCGCATGTGGCAAATAACATTTGATTTAATTTTAAATTGAGGCCATGTATCTAGATGCTTATCGAATCCTTAATGAAAGGAGATCTACACATCCTTGGTTGCTCTGTTTGCATGTATGTGGGATTCCCTTGGTCAGGGCCTATCAGTTTGCATTTACTATCAGGTTCAAAGGGCTGACTCAAATTTCCACAAATGTCCCGTTGACATTAATGCAGCCATGATGTTCCGTTGACATTTTAATGCATGATTTTCACATGCATTTGTGCAAAAACCTTAATTTGGGGTTTGGCTCTGAGTGAATTCTGTATATGGAATCGACTAGCCACTCTCTCTCTCTGTGTGTCGGAGTGTTTGTCAGAGGTATCTCACTGTTCTCCCATTTCTGTGGACAGGTGGATTATGGCGCCACGGCGGAGGAGCTAGAAGCCCACTTCCACGGCTGCGGCTCCGTCAACAGAGTCACCATCCTGTGTGACAAGTTCACAGGGCATCCCAAAGGGTAAATATCTACACCCCCATTCCTCCATGTGCAGTAGTGTTCTTTCACTACAGGCCTGCTAGTACACAATACTGCAGTCTTCTTCTATCAGTCATCTAGAGGAAAGAGTATACACAACATACTTTACTAGCTGTACCCTCTAGGCATCCCAGATGGTAATTGTCTACACTCCATGTGCATAGTTAGCAAAGTAGTTCGCTTTTATTCTAATGGATGTACAGTGCCATCAGAAAGTATTCACACCTGTTGACTTTTGTTGTTACAAAGTAGGAATAAAATAGATTTAATTGTGGGTTTTTTTTTGTCAACGATCAACACAAAATACTTTGTCAAAGTGGAAGGATTATTATTATTATTTTTTAATGGAAAATAAAACACCAGGTATTCAAGCCCCTGAGTCAATACATGTTAGAATCAACTTTGGCAGCGATTACAGCTAGAGAACGACTGTTAATCGGCCGGGCCGATATATCGGGCCAATATTGGCTTTTTCTTCTCTATCGGCCTTGCTGATAGTCCCGCTACATGGCAAAACTGCTGCTATGCCAGCCGCCACTCACCACCTGAGCCACGAGGAATGTCTAGCTGGGAAAATCAGCAGCAAGCAGAAAGCTGGCTCATTCTCCAGCAGAAAGATGCAGTATTGAGAAATGGATGAATTGACAGTGTCCAAAATCAAACTCCTGTTGCAAATATTACTTTAGTTAATGAACTACTAAGGTTCGTCTCGACGTGCCCAGACATGCATGTAATAAGCAAGCTAGCTAGCTAAGCAGATAGCTATGTGACCTGTTAGCAAAGATTACAATAACTAACCCTTTCATCTGTGGTGTTTGCTAGCTATATTAGCTACTATGCTAGCTAGCTGGCTAGATCAGGGCACTCCAAATTGGTTCCTGGAGAGCTACCGTCTTGTAGGTTTTTGCTCCAACCCTAATCTAGCGCACCTGATTCTAATAATTAGCTGGTTGATAAGCTGAATCAGGTTAGTTACAACTGTGGTTGGATCGAAAACCTACAGAAGGGTAGCGCTCTAGGAACAGGGTTGGAGAGCCCTGGGCTAGATAAAAATGGTGATAAGATATCAGATTGGAGCTGATAGCCAACGTAGCTAGCTAACAGTAGCTGGTTATCATTTTGAACGAACCATCTGACTTGAGGTGTGACATTAGCCATTTTACTGGAGTGCTGATCTGAACAGCTGTAATCGTATACGTAAATTGACAGTTGATAGTCGGATTAGATGATTGTCGTAATAGGGAAAGAAGGAAGTGTTTTAAAATGCCAAAATAAAGGTTGGCAATAGGTTTAGCTAACAAAAAATATCCCTGCATGTTTATGGACCAGGAAAGCTGTAGATCAGCACGCGTGTGCGTTCTCATTTCTCAAACTATTTTTGAGTCATTCAGTCAGAACGTGCATTGGTGTTGCATCTTTTTTTTCCTACCCTCGCTCTACTTGTTAGATATTATGCACATTTATGGCTTGGTAGCAAATGTCATCGCCATTGAGCTAGTTCTCACAGTAGCAGTAAACCGCAGCAAGTGATATGAGCCAATGGAGAGATGTGAAAGGAAGCAGCGTTACAGCCTCGCTCTATCCAATCGTAGCGGTAGGATCAACCCGCCCATTTCTTGACAGATAGCTGAACTAGCCAATTGTTTTGAATTTCCTCCTGGCAGCTGAATTGTTTAGAGATGTGTCCTGACAGCTGAAAAAATAACTTTTTCCCTATCACTGAAAATGACCAAAAAAAATCCTAGTTCGATTCCCACGGGGGACCAGTTTGGAAAAAGTATGAAAAATGTATGCACTCACTACTGTAAGTCGCTCTGGATAAGAGCTTCTGCCAAATGACTAAAATGTAAAAATGTAGTTTCATAAGCAGCAGTAATCACAAATCATGACATTACGTTGGACTCATTTGCATTGAATAGATGTTCTTTTATATTCTCAAACTAACAGCAGGTGCCTATATGATGTCTTTCCAAACAGGCATGACATACTGGAGTGATGCTTCTATGCAAATGTTGTTGATCGGTAGGCAAATATAACCCCTTATTTTAGCCACTGAACTATCTCCATATTTACTTCCATAATAAATAAATAAAACTGGTACCCGGTTACCTTCAGACTAGTCTTGGGAGGTTTATGGGTGTCCTTGTTCGTGAGACACTCCCCTTTCCACAGAGGGGTCATATTAGTGTGTAACTGTTCAGACACTTCAGACAGAAGTTTGCAGATCGGCTTTAAAACTGCAGAATTATCTCCACCAACGAGGGGTGTGAACAGTTTGTGTCATGAACAGTGCTTGTACCCATAGAATAGACGTGGCAGGCGTGGGATGTTCCCCAATGCTGGAATGCGTTTGGGAACCACTGATCTAGAGCAGTGGGATTTAGTTAAAGAATAGGTTCAGCTTCCAGCCTAAATCTACATGCTCACAGGTCTATGTTGATCATTCATGTGCCACTGATTCACATAAACCCATTATTGGCTACAGGCATGTTTTTGTGGATGTAAGGTTACAGATCTGTGTTCAGCCGACAACTTTGTCACATTGCTCATAGACCTATCTTAGCTAAGCTGTTACTTTGATAAGCTAGCACCACATGCTTTAGCAGTACAGTGGATGCTTATTGGAGCACGTGCTTGCTTGTATGAATAATTCAGCATGACTTCCATTGCTTGGTTAGACCGTAAGGACCACATGGCTTAAAGTGTTCTGACAGCTATAGTACATTGAGCATAGAGCTGGGTGATATGGAAGAAAACCCATATCGCGATAAATTGCCTGAATTTATGCGCTAACGATAAATAGAACGATAAGTTGCACCACATTTGTTTATTTATTGTCCTTTTAAACTATACTGAACAAAATATAAACGCAACATATAAAGTGTTGGTTTCATGAGCTGAAATAAAAGATCCCAGAAATGTTACATACACACAAAAAGCTTATTTCTCACAAATGTTTTGTACTAATTAGTTTTCATCCCTGTTAGTGAGCGTTTTTTCTCCTTTGCCAAGATAATCCATCCACGTGACAGGTGTGACATATCAAGAAGCTGATTAAACAGCATGATCCTTACACAAGTGCACCTTGTGCTGGGGACAATAAAAGGCCACTCTAAAATGTGTAGTTCTGTTACACAACACAAGGCCACATATCTCAAGTTTTGAGGGTAGTGTAAATTGGCATGCTAACTGCAGGAATGTCCAACAGAGCTGTTGCCAGAGAATTGAATGTTCATTTCTCTACCATAAGCCACCTCCAACATTGTTTTCGAGAATTTGGCAGAAGATCTGACCGGCCACACAACCGCAGACCACGTGTAATCATTTCTAACTTCACATTTAACTCGAATAGGCTACTTTATCGCAATGAACGATATCAGCAAAATGCCTGCAATAAGTGATCAATAATTTTAGGTTTATCGTCTCAGCTCTAATGGATGACCAAGGTTTTCTTTTCTGACATAATGGTCTAGCTTAATCCTGTACCCATTTACTATAGCCATGCAAACAGATGCACAATTCATGACTAGTATCAGTGTTTCCCCTATATTCTTTTAATTCCCCTATATACATTTCTTACCACTGCTGCCAAAAATGAGTATTTAAAAAATATAATATATATATTACTGAGTGAACAAAACATTAAGAACACCTCCCTAATATTGAGATGCACCCCTCCCCCCTTTTCCCTGAGAACAGCCTCATTTCGTCAGGGCACTTTATAATGTGTCAAGTGCCAATTTGTAAGTCGCTCTGGATAAGAGCGTCTGCTAAATGACTTAAATGTAAGTGTTCTGTGGAAGGTATTAGGCATCCCTGGCTCATGTTGCCTCCAATGCTTCCCACAGTTGTGTCAAGTTGGCTGGATGTCCTTTGGGCGGTGGACCATTCTTGATACACACGGGAAACTGTTGAGCGTGAAAACCCCAGCAGCGCTGCGGTCCTTGACACACTCAAACCGGTGCGCCTGGCACCTACTACCATACCCCATTCAAAGGCACTTCAATCTTTTGTCTTGCCCGTTCACCCTCTGAATAGCACACATACACAATCCATGTCTCAATCATTATGAATAAGAATGAACAGAAAGAAGCAGAGACCAGCTTCGCCAAAATATCTGATTCTCAGATTATACAGGACTATAGAAATAATGGTGTGGGGGACAGTGAGGCACTCTCTTTCTCGCTCACTCGCCTCTCCTCCATCTACACTGATTTTGAAGTGGATTTAAGAAGTGACATCAATAAGGGATCATAGCTTTGGCCTCGATTCACCTGGTCAGTCGGTCATGGGAAGAGCAGGTGTTTTGTACAGTGTATATTTCTGCTTTTAAATGGATAGTCGTTGGCTCAATGAGTTAAGTCTGTGGGAACCGCTAGCTACTCGCTTACGTGTCTTTTGTTAGAGCCAAACTTTTTGTGGAAGGTACTACATCGCGCACTCAACGTTGACGAAATACGTTTAGTTTCCTTGTAGGTCTACAGGGAAACTGTGAAGCCAGCTGTACAGCCTATTGCCTGTTTCTGTTTGACTCTCTTTTTTATTAAAGAATGTGAAACGATGTTGTCTGTTTTGATCATTTTCATTACATCATAGCTTTTCTTTATATGGCCTTAAATAAATGTGTTCCTATGTGCAGGATATTACACTACCTGCTCGTCGAACATCTCGTTCCAGAATCATAGGCATTAATATGGAGTTGGTCCCCCCCATTGCTGCTATACCAGCCTCCACTCTTCTGGGAAGGCTTTCCACTAGATGTTGGAACATTGCTGCGAGGACTTGCTTCCATTCAGCCACGAGCAGTAGTGAGGTCGGGCACTGATGTTGGGCTATTAGGCCTGGCTCGCAGTCCGTGTTCCAATTAATCCCAAAGGTGTTCGATGGGGTTGAGGTCAGGGCTCTGTGCAGGCCAGTCAAGTTCTTCGACACCGATCTCGACAAACCATTTCTGTATGGACCTCGCTTTGTGCACGGGGGCATTGTCATGCTGACACAGGAAGGGCCTTCCCCAAACCGTTGCCACAAAGCACAGAATCGTCTAGAATTTAATTTTATGCTGTAGCGTTAAGATTTCCGTTCACTGGAACTAAGGGGCCTAGCCCAAACCATGAAAAACAGCCCCAGACCATTATTCCTCCTCCACTAAACTTTACAGTTGGCACTATGCATTGGGGCAGGTGGAGTTCTCCTGGCATCCAATAAACCCAGATTCGTCCGTCGGACTGCCAGACGGTGAAGCGTGATTCATCACTCCAGAGAATGCGTTTCCACTGCTCCAGAGTCCAATGGCGGCGAGCTTTACACCACTCCAGCCGACGCTTGGCATTGCGCATGAGGATCTTAGGCTTGTGTGCAGCTGCTCGGCCATGGAAACCCATTTCATGAAGCTCCCGACGAACAGTTATTGTGCTGATGTTGCTTCCAGAGGCAGTTTAGAACTCTGTAGTGAGTGTTGCAACCGAGGACAGATTATTTTTACGTGCTTCAGCACTCGGTGGTCCAGTTATGTGAGCTTGTGTGGTCTACCACTTTGCGGCTGAGCCGTTGTTGCTCCTAGACGTTTCCACTTCACAATAACAGCACTTACAGTTGACCGGGGCAGCTCTAGCAGGGCAGAAATTAGAGGAATGGACTTGTTGGAAAGGTGGCATCCTATGACGGTGCCACGTTGAAAGCCACTGAGCTCTTCAGTAAGGCCATTCTACTGCCAATATTTGTCTATGTAGATTTTATACACGTCAGCAACGGGTGTGGCTGAAATGGCCGAATCCACTATTTTGAAGGAATGTCCACATACTTTTGTGTGCATCTATGGGTTATAGCATACCGAATTGTGTTCAGTTATGAAAGAACAATGCGCAAAAAATGGATCTGGTAAAGGGCCGACATTTCAATAAAAAAGACTAGATGGATGGCTTCGATAGTCTAGCAATTGAATTGCAAGTCGTTCATATGCTAATAATCAAAATGTTCTGCTTAAAGATCTTGCACTGCTACCCTCAGCATTCATTATTCTCATAGGAGCAGAACAAGCAATGGAAACCGAATGTATCCTCTGTGCGTGGAAAAAATATCCTGGCGCATGAAGACTACACTTACAGACGGGAACGACAGACCGCAGATCAGTCCTTCTGGAAGTGCGCCGGCTATGATTCTTTTGAATCCCGAGGTTGTATAACCCTCACCGACAGGGTTATTTCCACGTTAAACGACCAATGTTCATACATAGGACACAGCTACAGTAACGGGTCGATAGCTACAGTTAACTTTTCAGACAATTAAAAAAAAAAAAGTGCTGCATCAGAAGAGTCTGTACCTTTTCAGACAGTAGATTTCTGCTCCGGCATAGAATGTTCTATTGTTTCCCTGACAACAATAAACGTTGCTGATTTGATGTGCTGTTTTTTTATGGTAGGGTAGATGTTTTTTTCTTTCTACACATTTAATAACAGACTCATGCAATAGTTTACAGCTGGCTTCACAGCTTCCCCATCACTTCACAGCTTTCCCCATCACTTCACAGCTTCCCCATCACTTCACAGCTTCCATGGGACACTCGATGTGTTGTAGCCTCACGCAGACGTTCGCGGTAAAATAAATGAGCTAATTGCACACTGTGACTCAATTCCCAGTAGTGTTACATTAGTGAAGAGTTATTGCTTATTCTAATAGCCTGGAGTGCTCTTTTCTGAATCTCGTAGAAACTGGTGATGCTGATGACCAGGTTGTTCGTCTTACCGTTTATTCTTGTTAAGGGAATTATTGAAGAAAAAATAGGTGTTCCTGATTATTATTATTTTTTTTGTTCAGTGAATTTAGTCCGTTCTCTGCGACGTCATTTTAGTGACCCATTTCTATTTCTGCTGCTGTTGCAGGTTTGCCTATATCGAGTTTTCAGACAAGGAGTCTGTGAGGACGGCCATGGCATTGGACGAGTCTCTGTTCAGAGGAAGGCAGATTAAGGTGAGGATGTGACAGTGTATACACATCAGTGGAGGCTGCTGAGGGGAGGACGGCTCATAATAATGGCTGGAACAGAATGGCGTCAAACACATAGAAACCATGAATTTGATATCATTCCTCCTATTTCCGCTCCAGCCATTACCACGAACCCGTCCTCTCCAATTAAGGTGCCACCATCCTCCTGTGATCATTTACATTTGAGTCATTTGGCAGACGCTCTTATCCAGAGCCACTTACAGTTAGTGTGTTCATCTTAAGATAGCTAGGTGACAAAACCACCAGCTAGGTGACACATTTTTTTCCTCAAAGTAGCTATCGGCAATGTCAGCACTAATAGTTGTCGATTCAACTAAAGCACTTGGAAACTCAGAATTCTGAGCAATGTATCTGTCTATGAACTGAATTTCAGTTAGATTTTCTACATTGGGACTGGGACTGACCTATGGGAACTCTGGCCCCTGTGCTAGTGTCTAACCTGTGGTTTCCTGTTTCCCCTCTCTCTCGGTCCTGGCAGGTGGGGGTGAAGAGGACAAACAGGCCAGGCATCAGCACCACAGACCGCGGGTTCCCCCGGGCCCGCTTCCGCTCACGAGGAGGGAACTTTAACCCGTCGCGCGCACGCTACTACAGCGGCTACGCACCGCCCAGAGGCAGAGGACGGGCCTTCAGGTGAGCACCCCGGGACACTCATACCCTGAGACTGAGAGACAGCTGGCCATTACCGGAGGGAGGAGGAGTATGGAGAAGTGAGGCAGTTTGAGTTGAAGGGCAGAAGGGTAGTGAGTGAGATTATAGAAGTAGTGAAGATAATCAGAGGGGGAGATGGTTAGCAGGGGGGAGAAGAGCACCCGCGAAGCCTTGTTAGTCCTGAGGAGAGGACCCCCGTGAAGCCTTGTTAGTCCTGAGGAGAGGACCCCCGCGAAGCCTTGTTAGTCCTGAGGAGAGGACCCCTGCGAAGCCTTGTTAGTCCTGAGGAGAGGACCCCCGCAAAGCCTTGTTAGTCCTGAGAGGACCCCTGCAAAGCCTTGTTAGTCCTGAGGAGAGGACCCCCGCGAAGCCTTGTTAGTCCTGAGGAGAGGACCCCTGCGAAGCCTTGTTAGTCCTGAGGAGAGGACCCCTGCGAAGCCTTGTTAGTCCTGAGGAGAGGACCCCCGCAAAGCCTTGTTAGTCCTGAGGAGAGGACCCCCGCGAAGCCTTGTTAGTCCTGAGGAGAGGACCCCCCGCCAAGCCTTGTTAGTCCTGAGGAGAGGACCCCCCGCAAAGCCAAGCCTTGTTAGTCCGGAGAGGACCCCCCGCAAAGCCAAGCCTTGTTAGTCCTGAGGAGAGGACCCCCCCCCCAAAGCCAAGCCTTGTTAGTCCTGAGGGGAGAGAGGAAGGGAGGGAGGGAGGAAGTATGCCCAAAGCATCCCCCTGCACCTGTCCTAGACTCTGTCCATCAAGAAGTGTCTCTATGGGCTGGAGGTTGAAACTGGCCATATAGAGAATCATTCAGAAGGCATGTCTATAAGCCTGCCTGTAGTGGGACGAGACTGAATCTGTGACTAGCATTGATGAACAACAACATTACAGCAATATCAGAACGTGTGTTTCTAGAGCAGAGTGGAGGAGAGGTTTCCTTTAGTGGGGTTATGGTGAGTGGAGGAGAGGTTTCCTTTACAGTGGGGTTATGGTGAGTGGAGAGGTTTCCTTTACAGTGGGGTTATGGTGAGTGGGGAGGTTTCCTTTACAGTGGGGTTATGGTGAGTGGAGGAGAGGTTTCCTTTAGTGGGGTTATGGTGAGTGGAGAGGTTTCCTTTAGTGGGGTTATGGTGAGTGGAGAGGTTTCCTTTAGTGGGGTTATGGTGAGTGGAGAGGTTTCCTTTACAGTGGGGTTATGGTGAGTGGAGAGGTTTCCTTTAGTGGGGTTATGGTGAGTGGGGAGGTTTCCTTTACAGTGGGGTTATGATGAGTGGAGAGGTTTCCTTTAGTGGGGTTATGGTGAGTGGAGAGGTTTCCTTTAGTGGGGTTATGGTGAGTGGGGAGGTTTCCTTTAGTGGGGTTATGGTGAGTGGAGAGGTTTCCTTTAGTGGGGTTATGGTGAGTGGAGAGGTTTCCTTTAGTGGGGTTATGGTGAGTGGAGGAGAGGTTTCCTTTAGTGGGGTTATGGTGAGTGGAGGAGAGGTTTCCTTTAGTGGGGTTATGGTGAGTGGAGGAGAGGTTTCCTTTAGTGGGGTTATGGTGAGTGGAGGAGAGGTTTCCTTTAGTGGGGTTATGGTGAGTGGAGAGGTTTCCTTTAGTGGGGTTATGGTGAGTGGAGAGGTTTCCTTTAGTGGGGTTATGGTGAGTGGAGGAGAGGTTTCCTTTAGTGGGGTTATGGTGAGTGGAGAGGTTTCCTTTAGTGGGGTTATGGTGAGTGGAGAGGTTTCCTTTAGTGGGGTTATGGTGAGTGGGGAGGTTTCCTTTAGTGGGGTTATGGTGAGTGGAGAGCTTTCCTTTAGTGGGGTTATGGTGAGTGGAGAGCTAAGAGAGACCGGTGGGAGGGAGTCGGGTAGGTTCGTCGGTGTGTGTGTGTGGTGGTCTTGTTGCATGCACCGCCTACAACCGTTTCAGAGGAGGCAGCTGAACTCTCAGTCCACAGCAGTGAGGTCCTCCCAGGCTGTACATGTATGGGAGGCAGGCTGTTTGTATGACTTGGAACTACATTACGTATACCCACTGTTGACTGTGAGGGGTCATCTCTCCCACAGTGGCTGCTCATTAATACTAAAGGTGACAGGCAAAGTTTCACTTAAATGTCAGATTTTATGTTCTCATTTGTTCAGTGCTAATGGTTGGATTCCATTTTAGAATTTTATAATGCAATCATAAGGATCATTAAGATGCCGTATAGATTTAAATGCAGATTGCTGTCTTGAGTGTACCATGGATGGCCTCCATTTTAAAGAAGTTCATCTTTGTAGACATGTTAGCATTGTTGCTTAAACATTAATTGGCATGAGTGTGTGTGTGTATATCTGTGATATAGTTCAGTTGTCTTGATGTACAGTTAAAAGTAGTAGCCTGTATCCATCCTGTGTTCCATTTCATCAACGCGGTGTTTGTGTGTGTTCACCTGTTCTGGGCCAGCTGCTCCAGAGCTGTGTTTTTTGCCTGTGACCTTTCAAAAGCAACACCCCTGGTATCTGGATTTGTTTTCAATCTGTACAAAAGCTTGCCCCCTATGTATGTAAAACCTGGAGTGGATCAAAGCGCTGTGCACTGGGAGTCTGGTGTGTCTCCCTGGAGTGTGTGTCCAGTGTCTCTCAGTGTGAGGTGAGAGGGGGGTTCCCGTGATGACTCATTGAGCGCTCAAAGTGGGCCTCACGCTGGAGCTCTGTCTCTGGGCCCATGTCCTGTTTTTAGAAGCATTGCTGAGAAGAGGGGCTGCAGAGCAAGCACAATGAGCATCCTCACCAACTGACATGCACTGAGAGATTCTGACCAATGGACCAACCTTTCCACTCACTAGACCAATGGTGTCAGAGTTAGTAATGTGTAGTAGTGCCTCATTGGCCCCTCTGTGAGAGCTTCTGAAATGATTGTCAATCACTGAATGATAAGATCTTTTAGAGGGGCAAAACTTTGAATCTGTAAGGTCCTATTTAGCACAATTGTACGGATGACATCCTGTGAGTGTAAATTGTTTGGTGCCATTCAGAATCTCATGCCCCCTGCACTCAGATGGCTCATACACATAGCTCAGACATAGACTAGCCTAGGAATGGGTGGCCCACTATAGGGAGACGAAAAGCAAGTGTCCGGATGCTTTGCCTTGTTGCTAAAGCCAACTCTGTTGTTAACTACACATTGGTGCAGCAGACCCACAGGCTAGATGTTCCACCCACTGCCTTCACTTCCAGAATGAAGGGTTCATTCCTGCAGCCTGATTTTGACCTCAGCATTCTAACCACTGGTTTCTACTCATGTGACCTGTGTGTTTGTGGGCACTGGATGCCTGGGTTTGACAGTCGTGGTGTGCGTGTGTGACAGGGTTTCCGTTAGCTGGTAATAACCAGCTTTTGTCTATAATTTGTTTGTTTGTTGAAAAGCTGATAAATAAAATTGGTGCTGGCCAGTTGTCCGGGAGAATGAAAAAATCCCATTGCGAAATGCTTTTTTTTGCCTATTAATTTATGTAAATACCAGTCGATGTAAATACATTTGACTGGTCATGCTTATTGGTCTATAGGTTAATTTGTATAATTTAGTGGAATTGGCGGGTGTGTACAGTGTATATATACATTTTGTATGTTATTTATCACACCGTACAGATACAGAGCCTTTGAGTGGATCTGTCAGACCGAGCAAGAGCTGCCACTGCATCTTTGTGGTGCTTTCAAGACAACTGGGAATACGATGTCAAATCATGACGTCAGTGATCTTCAGGTCGGAGATCTAGAAAGAGGCCAGAGATTCCGAGTTGGATGACCGTTCAAAATGATTTTTCCCAGTTGGAGGTCGTATTTTTCCCAGTCATGAGATTTCCATTTTCCCCAGTTGTTTTAAACACGGTGTCAAACGGCAACGAAAGGCAGGCTTCCGCAGTGCGTCACTCCACTTTGCAATGGGCTGGAGGCGGTATGCATTTTGAAAACATATATACTTCATTGTTTGAAAACTGAATGTTTTACTACATATTATGAGGCGTGTTTTACCTTGCTTCAAAGTAGCCTATTAGATCTCTCTAAAGTTCTAACCGATATCATGTCACATGAAACCGCTCCCGTGTGCATTGCCCTTTTTACAACAGTGTTTTCCTGCCAATTATTTTTTTTTTTTTAGTCATTTAGCAGACGCTCTTATCCAGAGCGACTTACAGTTAGTGAGTGCATACTTTATTTTTTTCATACTGGCCCCCCCGTGGGAATCGATCCCACAACCCTGGCATTGCAAACGCCATGCTCTACCAACTGAGCTACATCCCTGCCGGCCATTCCCTCCCCTACCCTGGGCCAATTGTGCGCCGCCCCATGGGTCTCCAGGTCGCGGCCGGCTACGACAGAGCCTGGATTCGAACCAGGATCTCTAGTGCGCCACTCAGATTAACATTTGTTCGTAGCCTACAGCCTTGTGCACATTGCTGAGCTGATAATGTTCAGAAATAATAGTTAATCAACATTTTAAGCAAAACGTTCTGATCTGTTACATCAGACTCACTGTTTTTTAATGTTTTTTTTAAATGTAGCCTAGGCCTACTGGTTGTATGAATTTGGGATCTTTCGTCCCACAACTGTCCCAGAGTCTGTTTGGAATAGGCTGTTTCTTTCTCGACAAACTGGCCAAAAGAGTAGGTAGCCTAAACTTTTCTACTACAGTAGATTGACACAGGCTAGTGATTTTGCTGTTCGTTACTCGTCTTGTTGTTCTGTTAATATGAATTACCATATTCAAAATGTGATTTCTGTCATTTTTTGATTGCTGTGTGTGGACGCCTTAATCAGGTCACGCACACCCAATGCATACGGTTCCGGTACAGTTCTCAAACGTCCGGTAAATTTAAAATGTTGCCGGTCAAATGTCCGGCTCCACATTGTCCTAGCGGAAACCCTGGTGTGTGAGTGGAAAAGCGATGTGTGGTGATTGAGTGATGGGGCAGTCCAGGTTATCAGGAGAAGGGGTCAGTCAAGTCTGCTTGTCTGCTTGCTGAAGCTATATGTGTGTGGCCCTTCCTATAGCATGTGCCATGTGAATGACTTTATGACTATTCTGTGGGGTGGGATGGAGGCTTCTGTCCTCAGGGTCTCTCCCAACAGCGTCCTCGGGAGCCGCTCTCGCAGAGAGAGAGAGAAAGAGAGAGAGAGAGAGAGAAAGAGGGAGAGAGTGCCTCACTGTCCCCCACACCATTATTTCTATAGTCCTGTATAATCTGAGAGTTACAGATATTTTACTGTTGGCGAAGCTGGTCTCTGCTTCTTTCTGTACTGTTAATTCTTATTTATAATGATTGAAATTGTGGTAATTCAACACTTATCAAAGAAAGGCACAATACCATTAAGATGGTATACATGTCATCCTACCAACAATTTGTGTATACTTAAACAATTATTCATGCATACATTTTCCCCCCAGTTTACCTCAAGGATTGAGTTCTCACCAGGCCCCCGTTCTACCTGCCCACATACATAAGCACACTACATACCCTAAAATTGGTGTCCGTCTTTTTAAGGCAATCAAGAAACTCACACTCTTTTTCTCTCTCTTTTCCAGGGGCCGAGGGCGAACAACATCGTGGTATTCCCCTTACTAATACCCCCCCCCACCCCCTACTATCACCCCCCCGTCCCCAAACAAAAAAAGAATGAAAAAAAAAGTCCCAGGAAAACACTGAGAAGAGAAAAAAAAAAAAATGAAAAAAAAAAAAAAAAACTTCTCCTGGACAGACAGACTGACTGGCCACAGTGTGCGATTGTGTGTGAGCGTGCGTGTGTGAAGGTGGTGCGGTCACCCTGGTAAGGTATATGATGGCCGTTGGGAGATTTGGTGGCATTTCTTTTTTGAGAAGATGTCATCTCAGGCTGCAGATTTGTCTCCTTTGTCTGGCTGTGACCCTCACACCCAACACAGCCCCCAAAATGCTTGCATTCGAAAAGCAAACGCATCGACGAGAAAGGAATCAGTTTTTTTTATTTTTATGTACCGTACATGTTAAACTTCCAAGAGCAAGAATGTTGTTGTTTATTTTTGAAGTTGTGGTGTTGGGAGTTTCACTCCCTTTTCTCTCTCTGATCAGTTGCCACTCACCCCACCCCTTAACTCATCACTTTTGCTACCATCTTCTCCCTCTGGTTCCATCCCACGCTCTCTTTGTGTTCAGTATAGCTGTGACTGCTGTTCAGAGGGTGATTTTTATTTTTTCCTATTGTCCCTTCCCTTTTAGCCCGTAGCATTCACGCCAGGAAGGCATGGCCAGAGCTCTGCCGACTTTTCGGTTGAGTTTTTTTGTGGGCCTCAACCTTTCCCCCCCTCTTCTTGCGACCCTCTGCCTTTCTGTGCTGCTACTACCGTTTTGTCCTTCACCTCTTCCTCTCCATGTCCCTCTCTCATTTCTTTCTCCTTCTCTTCTCTCTCTGTATATTAGACCACTTCTTGTCGTTTCAGGTTTCAGGACCAGTGGAGGCTGACAACCCCTCCTCCGGTGGCCGCGGCACCCCCCAATGTCTCGGCAGGGTCTCTCTCTCTCTCTGCTCCTGCTATGCACACTCACCCCATCTTGTCTGTGTGGGGGGGAGGGGGTCAGGGTGACCACAGGGCCACCGCAGGGGGCATTTACTACAACAAGCGTTGAGTTGACTTACTCTCCCACACGCACTCACACATACTAGGCACACATACTAGGCCCACACACTTCACAGACACCACACAACCAACCACCACACATATTTATATAGCGAGAGCTAGAAGTCAAGATGGCAGCAGCTGTTTTAATTGGGAGTGAGAAAGACAGGACCAGAGAAAGGGTGGGGGGGGTTCCAGGGCCCTGGCCCCGACTTTGACAGTGCATAGTGCAGCAACGGCTTGTTGAGGACCAGGAGTGGGGATAAAGGCATCAATTAATTTAATAGCCGAGAGGGGCGGAGCTTTTATTTTAGGGGGGGGGGTAGGGGGTGGGTTTGTGTGGAGAGGTTTGAATTTTTTGAAACGGGAGAGTGGGTTAAACAAAAAAAAGATGTTTTGCTTTTTTTTTATTTTTAACCCATGAGTCTGTAATTAGAACAAAAAAATAAAATAAAGACGTTGTGTAAAAATTATTCATTTGTTTGTGATTTTTGACCCTAGTTGCAAAGCATTTAATAATTGGTTCTTGAAAGTTAAGCTGGGAGAATTCTGAACCTAATGACTGACATTCTGCAGTGTTTTTAATATCAGTATAGTTTCAAATGTCTTCCTTGCTTTCCTTCAATTCTTTAAAAGTGCACTATGCAGAAATCGCTCTGCCATTTCCTGGTTGCTAAAATTCTAATAGTTCGCCTAATTTCAGTTTGACGAAATTGTACCATCTCTAAATGGCTGTGAAATATATTTTCCATAACCCAAAATATTGTGTTTTCAGCAGTTTGAAGCTGGTGTAAAATATGTACAAACAAAACTTAAGAATTGGAATCATAAATAGCGCACATAGAACAGATCTGCTGCTTCTTAGACAAATACAGATCTATAACTCACATTTCTATGTGAATTTGGCCGGGTCACCCAAATGGTTACGTATTGCAGCTTTAAATGTTGTCGTTTTAGGCTCGTCTTCTTCAGTACCCTCTTTAATAACATACAGGAGCCTAACACCCCTATGAGGTAGAATGACCATTCTAACTATTTTAAATGTTTTAGTTGAACGTGTCAAGCCAATTGCATTTTTTAAGTGTTCATACCTTTCTGTATTATTATTATTATTATTATTACAAAGCAGTGAATAAGATGTTATCTTAGGAAGAAACTCAATCAAATACTTGTAAATAAACAAATCTAGCTAATAGGCTCTTATGCCACAAGAAATAAGGTATTTAAAGAACAATGAGTTAATGTTCGAGATGGGGGCGGCAGGTAGCTTAGCGGTTAAGAGTGTTGTGCCAGTAACCGAAAGGTCGCTGGTTCTAATCCCCGAGCCGACTAGGTGAAAAATCTGTCTGTGCCCTTGAGCAAGGCACTTTACCCGAATTGCTCCTGTAAGTTGCTCTGGATAAGAGCGTCTGCTAAATGACTAAAAATGTTTTAAAAAATTAGAACATATTTCAACAATACACTTGAATTTGAGAGTGAATTCGGTAGGGATAAATGTGTAACATTTTTATTAGACCATGTTTGATTCAGTCCCTCAAATTGAATTCACGTAAAACAAAACAAAAATTCTATATCCTGAAAGGGTGTGACTTAACTAGTGACATTTAGTTAATGCCCAAGGAAAATGAATCCGCTCTGTGCATTCCAAATTGGGGGGAATTTGGGTATTCAAATGGATTTTGGGCATCCATGATATTGAAAACTTGACATTCATGGGGGTAAAATCCTCCTTTGATACACATGATTTGAGCACCAACAATCACGAAAAGCTATTCCAAGTGAATCGTCCCATTTATCAGAAAACCTCAATCTTCATCCTGCTTTGTGTGGTTTTAGGTTTCCGTTACTGATCTTATCTTCTGAAAGCCGCAGGTAAAGAATGACGGATAATCCCTGCACTCCAAGTAAAATGGTCTAACATTGAGAATCAATGATGTGAGTAATTGAAATTGAATTCACAATTTATCATTAAAAACAATGGAAGAAAGAAATCACTGATGTCCTGGCGATGTTAAACACAAAACACGCAACTTTTTGTTTTCTTCATTAGTTTCTTCTTGGGCCCAGGGTTATCCATGTCTTGAAGGGGGGGACAGAAAACGTTGGGGTTAATATCGTCCAACATGGGCCATCATCCCTAAGGAGAATAAATCTTAAGTGTGCCAATTATTATTCCCTGGACGTAAAAATGTATGCGCGCATGACTACGGTGATTTGGATAAAAGAGTCTGCTAAATGGCATATGTCTACAAAACATCAACACCTGCTCTTTCCCTGACAGACTGACCAGGTGAAAGCTATGATCCCTAATTGATGTCACTTGTTAAATCCACTTCAATCAGTGTAGATGAAGGGGAAGAGACAGGTTAAAGAATGATTTTTAAGCCTTGAGACATGGATTGTGTGTGTGTTTGCGCCATTCAGAAGGTGAATGGGCAAGACAAAATATTTAAGTGCCTTTGAATGGGGTGTGGTACTAGGTGCCAGGCAAAGCAGTTTGAGTGTGTCAAGAACTGCAAAGCTGCTGGGGTTTTTCACGCTCCACAGTTTCCCGTGTATATCAAGAATGGTCCACCAACCAAAGGACATCCAGCCAACTTGACACAACTGTGGGAAGCATTGGAGTCAACATGGGCCGGCATCACTGTGGAACGCTTTCGACACCTTGTAGAGTCCATGCCCCGATGAACTGAGGCTGTTCTGAGGGCAAAATAGGGGGGGTGCAACTCAGTGTTCTTAATGTTTTGTACACTGTGTATATTATATTATCGATCACTGGATGGCAGTAAGGAGTGACCTGTAGAATACTGGCGTGTCCCTCTCCGCCCTTCAGGGCTGTGATGTCACTGAACCATGGGATGCCACTCAGCTGACCAGACATTCCTAGCATTCATGCCTCATCTTAGCATTTCTCTCATTTCGGGGCACTTGCAGACGCACCATCATTGACTCAAAGTTTTACCTGAAGGAAGAAAAATTAATTACATGAAGGGACCAAATGAGAGGACTAAAACTATGGTAGTACTACACAGTTAAATGAGAAACGTGTCAATAACAATCTTATCGATGATTATGTGATGAATATGTCTGATGATGACAGCACTGACCTGTGCAGCTGCTCTCGGCTCTGTCTCGGTCTTGAAGTCCCTGTGGTGGCGGATCTCTACAGGAGTGTCGCTGTACTGCTGCCGGAGCTCCTGGATCACAGAGCTGTGGAGGTCGGCACACCTCTGCTTTTTGTCTGCGTCGGTCATGTCTCCATCCGTGGGTCAGGTAAAGATACAGTTGAAGTCGGAAGTTTACAAGTCGGTTAGGACATCTACTTTGTGCATGACACAAGTAATTTTTCCAACAATTGTTTACAGACAGATTATTTCACTTAGAATTCACTGTATCACAATTCCAGTGGGTCAGAAGTTTATATACACTAAGTTGACTGTGCCTTTAAACAGCTTGGAAAATTACAGAAAATGATGTCATGGCTTTAGAAGCTTCTGATAGGCTAATTGACATAATTTGATTCAATTGGAGGTGTACCTGTGGATGTATTTCAAGGCCTACCTTCAAACTCAGTGCCTCTTTGCTTGACATCATGGGAAAATCTAAAGAAATCAGCCAAGACCTCAGAATTTTTTTTGTAGATCTCCACAAGTCTGGTTCATCTTTGGGAGCAATTTCCAAACGCCCGAATGTTCCACGTTCATCTGTACAAACAATAGTACGCAAGTATAAACACCATGGGACCACGCAGCCGTCATACCGCTCAGGAAGGAGACGCGTTCTGTCTCCTAGAGATGAACGTACTTTGGTGCGAAAAGTGCAAATCAATCCCAGAACAGCAGCAAAGGACCTTGTGAAGATGCTGGAGGAAACGGGTACAAAAGTATCTATATCCACAGTAAAACGAGTCCTATATCGACATAACCTGAAAGGCCGCTCAGCAAGGAAGAAGCCACTGCTCAAAAAACGCCATAAAAAAGCCAGACTACGGTTTGCAACTGCACATGGGGACAAAGATCATACTTTTTGGAGAAATGTCCTCTGGTCTGATGAAACAAAAATTGAACTGCTTGGCCATAATGACCATCGTTATGTTTGGAGGAAAAACGCGGCAGCTTGCAAGCCGAAGAACACGATCCCAACCGTGAAGCACGGAGGTGGCAGCATCATGCTGTGGGGGTGCTTTGCTGCAGGAGTGACTGGTGCACTTCACAAAATAGATGGCATCATGAGGTAGGAAGATTATGTGGATATATTGAAGCAACATGTCAAGACATCAGTCAGGAAGTTAAAGCTTGGTCGCAAATGGGTCTTCCAAATGGACAATGACCCCAAGCATACTTCCAAAGTTGTGGCAAAATGGCTTAAGGACAACAAAGTCAAGGTATTGGAGTGGCCATCGCAAAGCCTGACCTCAATCCTATAGAAAATGTGTGGGCAGAACTGAAAAAGCGTGTGCGAGCAAGGAGGCCTACAAACCTGACTCAGTTACACCAGCTCTGTCAGGAGGAATGGGCCAAAATTCACCCAACTTATTGTGGGAAGCTTGTGGAAGGCTACCCGAAACATTTGACCCAAGTTAAACAATTTAAAGGCAATGCTACCAAATACTAATTGAGTGTATGTAAACTTCTGACCCACTGGGAATGTGATGAAAGAAATAAAAGCTGAAATAAATCATTCTCTCTACTATTATTCTGACATTTCACATTCTTAAAATAAAGTGGTGGTCCTAACTGACCTAAGACAGGACATTTTTACTAGGATTAAATGTCAAGATTTGTGAAAAACTGAGTTTAAATGTATTTGGCTAAGGTGTATGGAAACTTCTGACTTCAACTGTACATCTTATACATCACAGCCATGGTTTTGTCAAATCACACATCACAGAAATATTGCAGCTTTGGGAAGATTTGGGTATGTTTTTAAGAGGGGATGACTACATAAGATTCAACAGCAGAAGAGGAAATAGTGTTATATTAACATTATATTGGCCCCCGGACTATTTACGTTGTTTGTTATCTATGCATAGTCCCTTTACCCCTACCTACATGTACAAACTACCTCGACTAACCTCTACCCCCTCACATTGACTTGGTACCGGTACCCCCTGTACATAGCCTCGTTATTGTTATTTTATTGTGTTACTTTTTATTGCAATTTTTTAAACTTTTGTTTATTTAGTAAATATTTTCTTAACTCTTTCTTGAACCGCATTGTTGGTTAAGGGCTTGTAATTAAGAATTTCACGGTAAGGTCTACACCTGTTGTATTCGGCGAATGTGACAAATACGATTTGATTTGATTTGATTACCATAGTGCATTGGAGCAATCTTGGGGGATCATGTTTCTTGCCACTAGATGGTACTTTTCTCAGCGCCTTCAGCCTTCTCTCCATTTTCACCCTCAGTCTTCTGATTCACTTAGCTTTGGCATGAAATAAAACATTTTAAGGTAAAGACATTCAGAAGCTGTTGCACAAACCAGATTTTATTCTGCCATAGGGAGCAACGAAACAAAATGAACAATAATGATATAATTGTATTCATTTCACACAGATTGAGATGCCAGGAGGTGGAAATGAAGCCATCTTACTGTCCTTTACTGAACTTTTATACGGTCCCAAGATGCACAGAAATACAACAACAATACATCACAAAACAACAAACGGCGTCTTTTCGATTTTGAATTGCATTTTTGGAAATGAGGGCATCTTACTGTTCTAACGGTGACCAGTCTGTGAAGGGTGACCAGTCTGTGAAGGGTGACCAGTCTGTGAAGGGTGACCAGTCTGTGAAGGGTGACCAGTCTGTGAAGGGTGACCAGTCTGTGAAGGGTGACCAGTCTGTGAAGGGTGACCAGTCTGTGAAGGGTGACCAGTCTGTGAAGGGTGACCAGTCTGTGAAGGGTGACCAGTCTGTGAAGGGTGACCAGTCTGTGAAGGGCGACCAGTCTATGAAGGGTGACCAGTCTGTGAAGTGTGCCATTGTCTTTCACACTACCACCCTCTAATTTGAGACTGATCAGGTCAGTGACATCTTGTAGGTAAAACAGCAGCAGCTGGTATCGCAAGTCCAGGAAAGACAAACCCTACAAGATAGTGGGAAATTAACATTTTCATGAATCATTTTAGAGAGACATAACTTTTACACACTTACCTTGGATGTTTGGAATGTTCCATATTGGACCCTCGTGTAAATCTCAAACATGCACTGCAACTGAAACCACCTAGGATTGAATGTGCACAGACAGACCTTATACATCTGAGTGACTGGTAAGTAGTAATATATACAGTATAACTGTTAAACAACACTACCTTAGCTATGTCATATTATTAGCAAGAAGGCTACAGAAGACAAATGGCTACCAAGAATGGACTAAAGGAGTCTAACATTAATCCTTATAAGGACCTTTCATGTTCTGTTTAGAGGCAAATTGGCCCTGACAGCCAAAACAGCCAAATACTCTATCTAAATGTGAATCGATTCTCAATTGCAGTATGGTTCTAGAAACATAAAGCCCTGTACTTTCATATCACATCAAAATAATTTCCTAGATGCAAAATACACACTTACTGTACACCAGAGGAGGCTGGTGGGAGGAGCTATAGGAGGACAGGCTCATTAATGGCTGGAATGGAATAAATGGAACAGAGTCAAATGGTTTCCATGTTTGATGTTTGAGACCGCTCCATTCCAGCCATTAATGAGCCTGTCCTCCTATAGCTCCTCCCACCAGCCTCCATATTTTTGTAGTACATTCACATTTACATAATTTAGCAGACGCTCTTATCCAGAGCGACTTACAAATTGGTGCATTCACCTTATAGCTAGTGGGATAACCACTTTACAATATGTTTTTTCTTTTTTTTGGGGGGGGGGGGGGGGGGGGGGGGTAGAAGGATTACTTTGTCCTATCCCAGGTATTCCTTAAAGAGGTGGGGTTTCAAGTGTCTCCGGAAGGTGGTGAGTGACTCCGCTGTCCTGGCGTCGTGAGGGAGCTTGTTCCACCATTGGGGTGCCAGAGCAGCGAACAGTTTTGACTGGGCTGAGCGGGAACTGTGCTTCCGTAGAGGTAGGGGGGCCAGCAGGCCAGAGCTGGATGAACGCAATGCCCTCGTTTGGGTGTAGGGACTGATCAGAGCCTGAAGGTACGGAGGTGCCGTTCCCCTCACAGCTCCGTAGGCAAGCACCATGGTCTTGTAGCAGATGCGAGCTTCAACTGGAAGCCAGTGGAGTGTGCGGAGGAGCGGGGTGACGTGAGAGAACTTGGGAAGGTTGAACACCAGACGGGCTGCGGCATTCTGGATGAGTTGTAGGGGTTTAATGGCACAGGCAGGGAGCCCAGCCAACAGCGAGTTGCAGTAATCCAGACGGGAGATGACAAGTGCCTGGATTAGGACCTGTGCCGCTTCCTGTGTAAGGCAGGGTCGTACTCTCCGAATGTTGTAGAGCAACATAATGTATTATTTTTTTGTTTTTTGCTCAATCTGATTGGGTGGGCCTGGCAGGGCCTGGCTCCCCAGTGGGTGGGCCTGTGTCCACCCAGCCCCACCCATGCCTACACCCCTGCCTCCCAGTGGAAAACTAATTAGAAATATTGCACAAACAGGACACAGTTACATAGGCCTATACTGTATGTAGGCTATACATACAGTTCAAAACAACAAAAAGCAGACCACAACTATAACAAAACAACATTACTGTAATGTAAAAGCAATATACTAACCTATACAAAGCAAACAGTTGAGACACAGGTAGCCTACCTTTAGAGACAGTAACAATGGTCATGAGAATTTGGTGGCCTCTCCAAAGTTACACAGAATATATCCAACTTTTACCAGCAAACTAATGTGAAATGTATCTACTTTGGAATGATAGACAGGATATAGGCTACACAGGACAGGATAGCTGATAGACAGGACAGGACACCTGATAGACAGGACAGGACACCTGATAGCAGTGGCGGCTCCTGAAAAAATTCTCAGGGGGGGCAATTTTTCTGATGATTTAGGTGACCTACACACATTTAAAAAAAGATATGTCCAGCAACAACATGAAGACAGGGGCAGCATATAAGTCAATACCAGAAGCATTTATTGACTGATCTCAAAAGTGTTGGCTTACCAGGGTTGGTGGAGCCCTCAGTTTCATCTTTGCCTCGCAAAGCTAACTCAAACACTCCGCAAAACTTCACACACTGGATTAGCCGGCTGAGGATGTGGCGGTTCTTGCTAATGTCGTAGTAAATATATTTGTTATAGTGAATATGGAATATGATATGTTGAGTAAAATGTTGTGCTAAGATCTATTTAGGTCAGGAGCTGGTTATAAGTTCTGTTCCTATCCAATAACAATGGACAAAAGGGTCCTATCTTGTCAGCCTTGTCAGTTTCAGTTCTCCAGTAAACTTGTGATTATCAACACTAACCTCATCGTTGTGGCGGCGGACAGCTAGCCTGTATCCCTCATCCAGTTGAGTGGGAATGTTCACTCTCCCCAAAGCAAACAATCTCAAACAGCTATCCATGTGGGTCTTTGACAGCTCATGTTTCTTAATCTTTCCTGAAAGATGGTGCATGTCCGTTACACACCAGTCGCTGTCCAAGCGGTGCTGTCTGCCGTGCAGCCTTCAGGGTGAAAGAGTAAGCAGGGGGGTAGCAGAAGACTGCATTAGCTACATCGCAGCCTGCTAGCCAGGTTTTTCGTTCGTACCAATTTTTGGAAAATCCTCGGGTGTAGGACTTCCCCCCTTTAGTAGAAACCTGTTGAATTATTAAATTTGGTCTGGGAGGTCCTAATTGTTTCGTTGCCAATTTATCTTGATTTGTTCGCCGACAAAAAGTAACTTATTTCAAAGAGACAATCGAGTTGCACTGAACGCTATAGCCATCTTGATAGTAGTACGTGAATTGATTGATGAGGCTACCCGCTCTTTTCTTAGTTACGTTCATGGTTACGTTACGTATGACGAAAGCGCGTAAGTGCAAGCCCTCAGAAACCCATAGAGATTGTATTGAAAGCTCTGATATTTGAAAAAAATTGATTTTACATGGGAGTCTATGACAGACTTCTGGGCGATTTTCAACCTGACTGAAATCGCCCCAAAAGGGGGGGGGGGGGGGGGCATTTGAAGCACGACTTTAGCCTGATTGGACATTTAGTGGCACTGTGGCAGATCAGACGTCTAGATTACAACACTGATAACTACTGTTGCCGTGATATAATTGATTAGAAAAAAAATCCCTTCCTTTTCCCGTTTGGCAGTGCGTCGCCCATATCGCCCTATTGAACACACCGCCCCTGCCTGATAGACAGGACAGGACACCGCTATACTGGTAATACAAAACAAAAAGAAGCAGACCACAACTATATAAAACATACCAAATACAAACTATAGAAAGTTATACAAAATACTATGACTCCGCCCGAGCCGTAGTAATCTTGGTCCAGGTCGCTCCCAGCATCTGTCTGACTCACTAAGAATTTCCTCAAAGCCTCTTTCTCGGCGTACCTGGCTTTTGTCATCTTATTACCGTCCTGTAGTTTGCTTGGTTTTTCACTTTTTTTTTTTTTTTTACATCCCTGATAAGCCATTTTTATGCCAAAGCGATGATAGAACCGTGGGAAAATCCTCTGCAATATCATTAACAGCAGACTAGTTCATTTCCTCAGTGAAAACAATGTACTGAGCAAATGTCAAATTGGCTTTTTTACCAAATGACCGTACGACAGACCACGTATTCACCCTGCACACCCTAATTGACAAACAAACCAAAACAAAGGCAAAGTCTTCGCATTCTTTGTTGATTTCAAAAAAAGCTTTTGACTCAATTTGGCATGAGGGTCTGCTATACAAATTGATGGAAAGTGGTGTTGGGGGGAAAACATACGACATTATAAAATCTATGTACACAAACAATAAGTGTGCAGTTAAAATTTGCAAAAAACACACACATTTCTTTCCACAGGGCCGTGGGGTGAGACAGGGATGCAGCTTAAGCCCCACCCTCTTCAACATATATATCAATGAATTGGCGAGGGCACTAGAACAGTCTGCAGCACCCGGCCTCACCCTACTAGAATCTGAAGTCAAATATCTACTGTTTGCTGATGATCTGGTGCTTCTGTCCCCAACCAAGGAGGGCCTACAGCAGCATCTAGTTCTTCTGCACAGATCTAGACACCGTTGCCCTAGAGCACACAAAAAACTATGCAAACCTTGGCCTAAACATCAGCGCCACAGGTAACTTCCACAAAGCTGTGAATGATATGAGAGACAAGGCAAGAAGGGCCTTCTATGCCATCAAAAGGAACATAAAAATTGACATACCAATTAGGATCTGGCTAAAAATACTTGAATCAGTTATAGAACCCATTGCCCTTTATGGTTGTGAGATCTGGGGTCCGCTCACCAACCAAGAATTCATAAAATGGGACAAACACCAAATTGAGACTCTGCATGCAGAATTCTGCAAAAATATCCTCTGTGTACAACGAAAAACACAAAATAATGCATGCAGAGCAGAATTAGGCCGATACCCGCTAATTATCAAAATCCTGAAAAGAGACGTTAAATTGTATAACCACTTAAAAGGAAGCGATTCCCAAACCTTCCATTACAAAGCCATCACCTACAGAGAGATGAAGCTGAAGAAGAGTCCCCTAAGCAAGCTGGTCCTGGGGCTCTGTTCCCAAACACAAACAGACCCCACAGACCCCCAGGACAACAACAACAACACAATTAGACCCAACCAAATCATGAGGAAACAAAAAGAGAATTACTTGACACATTGGAAAGAATTAACAAAAAAACAGAGCAAACTAGAATGATATTTGGCCCTAAACAGAGAGTACACAGTGGCAGAAGCTCATTAAAATGCAAATCAATTCATAACATTTTTGACATGCGTTTTTTTTTCTGGATTTTTGTTGTTGTTGTTATTCTGTCTCTCACTGTTCAAATAAACCTACCATTAAAATTATAGACTGAACATGTCTTTAAAGAGTGGGCAAACGTACAAAATCAGCAGGAGATCAAATACTTGTTTTTCCCCTCACTGTACATTGTGATGAAACAGTCACATACGTGCTTCCATCTAGGAGTATTCCAAATGTTGACATATCTACAGGGTTCATCCTAAAGGCAACTAAAGTTGTGAGTCGAAGAACAAAAAAGTTCCAAGTACTTTAAAAACTACAGTAGGAGCTTTATTGTCTGTGGTTAGATGTGTGACACAGATCTCAGTACACTATCTACCTACACTATTTTGACATGGCAAGAACGATTGCCGAATCTGATTACCCAATACTTTATATGGTTTCAAAAAGATTCATTGAAATAAGCACCACTACGTATAATGCTGTTGTCACCAATTGGTTGGAAGTACCGGAAATAACCTTGTTACCATGTTATTATTTAGTAGATATCAGGCAAAAGTTATGTCATGGTGCAATTCAATTTCTTTTAAATAAGTATTTTTATGGCTCTTTCTCAACATTCTGTGTTATATGACTTACAGTTAAATCAAGGTACAAAATAAAAAAAATAAAGAATGTTTAACTAACACTCAACGTTTATGAACACTATCGTCTTCAAATGCACATTTGTGATTTAATCAAAGGATATGCCTAATTTCCTTAGCTGACAATTTCCACTTTAGCCCAATCTCCTCCAAGTGATTGTATTGCATCTAACATGGCTATTATAATGGCTATGCCTAAACCCGGTTATCTCCTGCTATTTAGCTTCTTCAGTGTAGTATTTTATTGGCCTGTAAGAGCACATAGAGATGCCCCCCTTCACTCTGTTCACAAAGACCATTAAAAACATACACAATGACACAGGAGTTTTATGGGTAGAGAGCTGGGACGGCCTTTGTGGGACGGGTAAGATTTCAGCACAGCATGGGACAAAAAGACTATCAGCTCACAGGAGTGAGAGAGCCTTCCCGTGGCAGCGATAGCAGTTAAGGGACAGAGATGAGATTAGATAGATAGATAGATAGATAGATAGATAGATAGATAGATAGATAGATAGATAGATAGATAGATAGATAGATGATAGATAGATAGATAGATAGATAGATAGATAGATAGATAGATAGATAGATAGATAGATAGATAGATAGATAGATAGATAGATAGATAGATAGATAGATAGATAGATAGATAGATAGATAGATAGATAGATAGATAGATAGATAGATAGATAGATAGATAGATGGATGGATGGATGGATGCAGCAGATTGACGAGGGCGGCAAGACACACCTCCAACAACAACACATAAAACCGCACATACAGTGCATTCAGAAAGTATTCAGACCCCTTTACTTTTTCCACATTTTGTTATGTAGTATCGCGTCAATGCTGGTAATTATTGCTGTCAAACAAAGAGTCCGCTTAGGCTGTACTTTGATTATAAGTTTTATTTATATCACAAGATGTCAGCATAAGTTTACAGACCCTGCCGGGCTGGAGAACAGTGTCCAAAGATAATGTCTGTTCTAACCTCTTCTTCGCTTTTACCCAGTATATATAATCTTCCCAAGATAGGGGTGGCTCCCTCTACTGTCCAATCCCCTGTCTACAACACACACTTCCTGTCTGTTGTATGTGGCGTCACACTAAAACATTCCCTCTGACACTAAATAAACATCCTTTCAGTTCCACTTACAAAAACATTAACAAAGTCATAATCTTAATACACTACAGTTACGTTACAGCCTTATTCTAAAATGGATGAAATCGTTTTTTTAGAAATATGACATTTACATAAGTATTCAGATTCTTTACTCAGTACTTTGTTGAAGCACCTTTGGCAGCAACTACAGCCTCGAGTTTTCTTGGGTATGACGCTACAAGCTTAGCACACCTGTATTTGGGGAGTTTCTCCCATTCTTCTCTGCAGATCCTCTCAAGCTCTGTCAGGTTGGATGGGGAGCGTCGCTGCACAGCTATTTTCAGATCTCTCCAGAGATGTTGGATCGGGTTCAAGTCCGGGCTCTGGCTGGGCCACTCAAGGACATTCAGAGACTTGTCTCGAAGCCACTCCTGAGTTGTCTTGGCTTTGTGCTTAGGGTCGTGGTCCTGTTGGAAGGTGAACCTTTGCCCCAGTCTGAGGTTCTGAGCGCTCTGGAGCAGGTTTTCATCAAGGATCTCTCTGTATTTTGCTCCGTTCATCTTTCCCTCGATCCTGACTAGTCTCCCAGTCCCTGCCGTTGAAAAACATCCCCACAGCATGATGCTGCCACCACCATGCTTCACCGTAGGGATGGTGCCAGGTCACCTCCCTGACCAAGGCCCTTCTCCCCTGATTGCTCAGTTTGTCCGGGTGGCCAGCTCTAAGAAGAGTCTTGGTGGTTCCAAACTTCTTCCATTTAAGAATGATGGAGGCCACTGTGTTCTTGGGGACCTTCAATGCTGCAGAATGATCAATGGAAACAGGATGCACCTGAGCTCCATTTTGAGTCTCATAGCAAAGGGTCTGAATACTTATGTAAAAATTGTATTTCTGTTTTATATTTTTTATAAATTACCAAAAATGTCTAAAGACCTGTTTTTGATTTGTCATTATGGGGTATTGTGTAGATTGATGGGAAAAAATAATTGAATACATTTTAGAATAAGGCTGTAACATAACAAAATGTGGAAAAATGGAAGGGGTTATATTATATTATATATTATTATTATTATATAAGGGGTCTGAATACTTTCTGAATGCACTGTAAATCTACCCAAAACACTGACCATTTCTCTCAACCAGTGGCATATGGGCATTTTTGTTGAGCGCTGATGATGCCTTTTTATAAGCAGTGCCCACTTTTTCAAAGGCAGGGGCGCAAAATATTTTGCTTGTCCATTCCCAGCATGCCTCTCCAGGGTGCTGCTGGAGAGATGCATCTCTGCAGCGCTCCACCAACGTTCAGTCAGTAAACGTATCTAATATAAATTATGCAGCAGATATAGGATATGGTAGAAAGAGTATGTGGCCTTTTCTGTAGCCTACAGACTGGAGATAAAATGTATGACAATGTAATGAGACTGACACTTTTTACATCATGCAGGTTTCTCCAATCAAATAGCCTAACCTAAATGGCGCTCAATCAAATAAGAAATGCGCTGTCATGTTAACAAACAACATACCCTAAAAACAGGACAGGACAAAGTAAAATGGACAATAACAACTGCGGTCCAGGAGTTTCACCCCGTTGTCATGATCAGTGGTTTCAAGTTTGTATCAGTCAATTTTTGACAAGCTGATCATAGTGAAAAAGAAACTACTTTGGCATTTCCCTCTGTGTAAACATTTTAGTCGTTTAGCAGACACTCTTATCCAGAGCGACTTACAGTTAGTGAGTGCATACATTTTTCATACTGGCCCCCCGTGGGAATCGAACACACAACCCTGGCGTTGCAAGCGCCATGCTCTACCAACTGCGCTACAGGAGGGTCAGATAACTCCAAATAAAGTTGGGTAGCTGATATTCAGAGCTTAAGTAGCCAAATTGATTAGTCACAGGAATCAGGACTAATAAAGCCAATGTAACGTACTGTTTTACAAACGGTGGGCCCACCACATGGATGGGCATTCATAAAACTCAATTGCGGGCCGACATAGTAGGCTACACCCCAGTAAGCACGAGCCAACACCTTTGAAAAAAATTATACTTCTACCCCTTTTTTCTCCCCAATTGGTAGTTACTGTCTTGTCCCATCGCTGCAACTCCCCTGCAGACTCGGGAGAGGCGAAGGTCGAGAGCCATGCGTCCTCCGAAACACGACCCTGCCAAGCCGCACTGCCTCTTGACACACTGCTCGCTTAACCCGGGATCCAGCCGCACAAATGTGTCGGAGGAAACACCATCCAGCTGGCGACCAAAGTCTACTTGCAGGCCAACACAAGGAGTCGCTAGAGCGCGATGGGACAAGGAAATCCCGGCTGGCCAAACCCTCCACTAACCCGGACGACGCTGGGCCAATTGCGCGCTGCCTCGTGGGTCTCCGTGACCACTGCGCCACTCCGGAGGCCACGAGCTGATGTGTTTTGGACTTTTTTTGGTACAGTTCCGGACCGGCCTTGATTTCCACATCCAAGGACATTGGTTTTTGGTCCGGTCTGGGCCAAATCTGAACCAATCATAGATGTCTGTGTTTGGTTCAGATTTTGTCCGGTGTGGACCAGCCTTGATTTGGGCCAAACATAGACGTCTATAAATTACTTGTTTTTAAATTTCATTCAGAGCCAAAAATGAGCCTGATTTCAACATCCAGAAGATATTCGTTTTGCGGGGGGGGGGAGGGGGGGGGGCAGAAGGCAGAAGTAGAATGCCACAGTATGCCCAAGGGTAGAGGCACGAAGGGAATATCTACAATATGCTCTCCATGCAAATTACAAAAGAATCTGGACAGTCCTCCCATTATACAACGCATAATGCGCGCTCTTTCAACCTTGACAATAATCTATGATTTATGGCCCCACCAGGCGGCAGATGGCTCAATGTGCAGTGAAAGAGGGGACGTCTCAACGATTACACCCGATTTCTCACGAGTCTGGAGATAGCTTCTCCCATTGCAGTTTTTCCCACCCCCTCTTTCTCCCAGAGACAGAAATGGTCGGTTCGCCATGTTCAGCCAGACAGCCAGCAGTTCTGTGACCCGTCCCCTTTAAGATGATGTCAGAAATAATCATTTATTATTTAATGACTTTGTTTAATGTCGGCGGACATTACGTTAGCAACAACGTTAGAAATCAGGGACCGGTAGAAGTCGAGCATCAACCTTTCTGCCACAGCAAAACGGATTGCTTCCTAAAGTAGGCTTCAGTGGGTGTCAATGTTGAAGCCCTACGTTGTCTTCTCTGACAGGACTTTAGTTTCCAGTGCTTCATATAACACTACCCTGGGACAGCAGCCTATATGTCACAGGTTGGAATAATAGACAAAGCCGACAGAGAGAAGACGCATAGGAAGAGTAAGGGAATGCGGTGAAATCTCAACTCAATTCCGAACACTGTAATCTTTATCCCCTTCAATGTTTTGGCTTGACCAATGGACAATGGGCAGTCGTTAACCCAGTGGATTTATTATCATATCCGACGACTATAATAATACTGGAAAGGGGTACGTCATTCATTTTACTGCAACTGTCCCCATGCCACGCAGCCTGTGACCATATTGTGTATTTACAAAATCATGTGTTTTGCTGTCTGCCCCGGACAGATGCGTGCGTGCGTTTGTTTCAGGGACCGAATATGTCACCACCATGCCAGTTTTATTCATGTTACAATGTTACACAGTAATGTTACGAATTTTTTTATTTTCTGGTGATTCGTGTGTTGCTCTGTGTTACCTCTTAAAATATGCGTTAGTTATTTTCCTTCCGTGTAGTACTTTCCCCTGTCTGAAAAACCTCATGTAACATTCCTTTAGCAGTAGCCTAGTTCCTGGCCTTTCCAATATAATGGACCATGCACATATTGGCTGATACTGGGCCTTTATGGCTGATAGTATAGACGTGTCCAAATACCTTCCTTGATCTTGGGCGATACGATACAGCGGTACAACGTATTTCCTACACGTGTATAGTCATCCTACACGTGTATAGTCATCCTACACGTATATAGTCATGCTAAACTTGTGTGTTTTTACCCAGCAATAGAATGGTTATATCCACCATTTGAATAATAGGCTAAACATTATTTAATGCGGTTGGCATTGCTCCCTCTAGGCTCTTTTATGGGATTGATTGGAGATGTCATTTGCCAGGCTTTATGATTAATAAAGTATGCACAATGAAAGTTGTAAAACTGACTGTTCAAGTCTGTAAATAAATAAAAAAGAAGCTCCATTCACTGAGCTAATTCTGCAGGTGCACTGTATACTGTAGCTAATAATATATACAGTTGAAGTCGGTCTATTTCTTACTTACTGTAGCTAATAATATATATGGGAGGAAGTAGTCATGGTGAATCCAGGCATGTCAATATTTGTGTATGTTTTCCCTCCACAGATATTTCCCATATTTCCCAGTCCATCTAAGAAGTGACCACAGCCTCTCTGGTCCTCAGTCATGACATCACCTGAGTCTACCCTCCCCTCCCCTTCCCCCTGTCCGCCTCCCCCTTCCTCCCTCCCCTCCTCTCCCACTCCCTCCTCTCCCACTCCGTCCTCCTCCCTCCCGCCTCCCCCCTCCCTGCCTCCCACGGGGGAGGTGATGGTCCTGGCCCTAGGGAGGAAGAAACAGAGGATGCTGATCTGTCTCTCCATCCTCCCCAATCTCTTCCTGGCCTTCCTTCTCTCCTCGGACGCCCTGCTTACCTTCACCTCACCGCACCACTGCCGCCTCCCGGGACCCTTGCCTGCCCCGCAGATCCTTAACGCCTCCCTGCCCTGGGAAAAAGGGGACAGAGTGGGGGACAGCGGGGGGCTGTCTCAGTGCAAGCAGTTTATCAACGGTACCCAGTCCGGGGTGGAAAACTGTGAAGCTGGCTGGAACTACAACGTCACAGAAGGATTGAGGATTAACGTTGTTACTGAGGTACCTCAAGGAACTTCGTCGGCTTCATTGTTTTCTTGATTAGTTTTGTAATTCCCGGTCTCAGCATCCAAGTGGCTCCTAGCGGAACAGGGAATGATTGTTTAACAACGATATAATGAATTACTCAGTGAAGTCCTGATACCTTTACATGCAGTGTAACGTAAAACTGTAATTTATACAGTAATTTTGGGTATTACCATTAGTAAAATACTCTGAAACGTTTTACTGTAGCATACTGTCAATTATGGTGCATTGTGGGAAAATGTTGTGGGTGGGGAAAGAATGGCTGTATTTCGAATGGTACTGTAATTCCATCCCAGAGAATACAGTACCATACTGTATCTTTGGAGCGCCAAAAACCTTTTGACCAAAACTGGGTTTCTGGCTCATTAACATATTTTGAGGCATGCCTTGTAAGGCTATATTTGTAGCACCCGTTAGTGAGAATGCTGTACCAATTTAACTCCTATGTGTTATAGTGCCCCCATCAATTTGTATAGGGGACATGATTGGAGTGGCAGCAAGTCTTAAGCATTAAATGGTTGAGCATTTTGCCATGTTCTTTTGGTCTGATTTGCCCTGTAGTCACTGTCAGCTTGGAAGCCTTTGTTCAGGCCTCTAGAAGTGCAAGGGATATCAAACACCACATATTTATAGATATGCTGTACTGTGTATCCCTTGTAATTACATTAAAATACTGTGAAATACAAACCACTCCCCTCAATGAAATTCATCCATTGATCCATTCATTATGATTACAGTAGCATTTACTTTTTTACAGTATAATACAATAAATGTTACAGTATTGTACTGTGTCATTACACAGTACTTGCTTTGATACCGTAATTAGATTACAGTAGGTGTACTGTAATATGAAAAACAGAAAATGTACTTGCCAATGAGCTGCCTGTAAGTAACTGTCAAATTCACGGCAACCCATTTACAGTGTGGTAAAAAAAATGCTTTCACCATTTAACACAGCTTTGATGAAGTAGGCCTATGTTATAAACAGTCACGGCACCCACAGGGTCAGAAACAGTAGTAGAGGGAGGTCATGGGAAATGTACAACCAAACTCCTCCTGCCTTTATTCATTTAATGATGTATTCTACAATGCCTTATGACGCTCCAGGCCTAATGTCTTTAGCAGAACTCTTGTTCAATGTCCACCACACCCAATATTTCCATGGAGGTCTTAAGCTCTCGATTGGTCCACTGTGTTTTCCATGGAGGTCTTAAGCTCTCGATTGGTCCACTGTGTTTTCCATGGAGGTCTTAAGCTCTCGATTGGTCCACTGTGTTTTCCATGGAGGTCTTAAGCTCTCGATTGGTCCACTGTGTTTTCCATGGAGGTCTTAAGCTCTCGATTGGTCCACTGTGTTTTCCATGGAGGTCTTAAGCTCTCGATTGGTCCACTGTGTTTTCCATGGAGGTCTTAACCTCTCGATTGGTCCACTGTGTTTTCCATGAAGGTCTTAAGCTCTCGATTGGTCCACTGTGTTTTCCATGGAGGTCTTAAGCTCTCGATTGGCCCACTGTGTTTTCCATGAAGGTCTTAACCTCTCGATTGGTCCACTGTGTTTTCCATGAAGGTCTTAACCTCTCGATTGGCCCACTGTGTTTTCCATGGAGGTCTTAACCTCTCGATTGGCCCACTGTGGACTCACGTTCTATTTGTTTTGAATTCCATGCGTGGTGACGCGGGTGGCATACTCAACGTTTCTGTAAGCTTTTCTGTGGGCCTGTTGCCCTCTGTGGTTAACTGAACATACACTGGTCTCAAGGAGTCCTTCTAACTGAAGAGACAGACTACTGCAGTGGTTTTTCCATGTGCCTATAGACTGAAGAGACAGACTACTGCAGTGGTTTTTCCATGTGCCTATAGACTGAAGAGACAGACTACTGCAGTGGTTTTTCCATGTGCCTATAGACTGAAGAGACAGACTACTGCAGTGGTTTTTCCATGTGCCTATAGACTGAAGAGACAGACTACTGCAGTGGTTTTTCCATGTGCCTATAGACTGAAGAGACAGACTACTGCAGTGGTTTTTTCCATGTGCCTATAGACTGAAGAGACAGACTACTGCAGTGGTTTTTCCATGTGCCTATAGACTGAAGAGACAGACTACTGCAGTGGTTTTTTCCATGTGCCTATAGACTGAAGAGACAGACTACTGCAGTGGTTTTTCCATGTGCCTATAGACTGAAGAGACAGACTACTGCAGTGGTTTTTCCATGTGCCTATAGACTGAAGAGACAGACTACTGCAGTGGTTTTTCCATGTGCCTATAGACTGAAGAGACAGACTACAGCAGTGGTTTTTCCATGTGCCTATAGACTGAAGAGACAGACTACTGCAGTGGTTTTTCCATGTGCCTATAGACCGAAGGGACAGACTACTGCAGTGGTTTTTCCATGTGCCTATAGACTGAAGAGACAGACTACTGCAGTGGGTTTTCCATGTGCCTATAGACGGCAGGAATATAATTCAGTCACTCTTTTCATAGACACAAGGCCTGATTCAGTGGTTGGTTTCAGAGTATATTTTTACCTTGTCATGATCCACCAGTATAACACCACTGTGCTTTCCATGGAGGTCTTAAGCGCTCGATTGGTCCACTGTGTTTTCCATGAAGGTCTTAAGCTCTCGATTGGTCCACTGTGTTTTCCATGAAGGTCTTAACCTCTCGATTGGCCCACTGTGTTTTCCATGAAGGTCTTAAGCTCTCGATTGGTCCACTGTGTTTTCCATGAAGGTCTTAAGCTCTCGATTGGTCCACTGAAAGGAAATGATTTAAATCACATTTCAATATACTGTAGTTTGGTTGTAATGACTTTTTCTGTATGATCTGGAACAATGTCCTATTGATGGAGTGATTGTGCATAACATGTTTAACTCTCTCTTCCCTTTCTGTAATCTTCTGTTGATTTCCCACCTCTTTGCTTTCCTCTACCAGTGGGATTTGGTGTGTGGTCAGTACTGGCTGGTCCCAGTCGAGGAGGTGTCCTTCATACTGGGCGTTCTGACAGGATGCCTGGGACTGGGCTTTGCAGCTGACAGGTGAGACGAGCTGAGAAATACAAAGGAAAATACAAGGGTTAGACTGGGGGGAGACCTCTTGAGGATTTAAAGTAAGATGAACAAATTTAATTAGACAATATTCTGTTCATTAAAGGTCGTTGAATGAATGAGGCTTTCGGCGACTGAGCTGAGCTGCACCTGAATCCAGAAATGTGGTTGAATGAAAATTGTTTAAGTATATTTCTAGATGTCCCTAAAAAGCTATGTATTTACATGGACATTACCTTTGTTATTTAGTAGCTTAATCCAGGACTTTTAACTGTGTTTTTAAACCTCTGTTTTTACAAGGCCTTTTCCTGGATTCAATTTCCATGAAACCGGCCCATAGCGTTCAGAGGCCATTGCTTATGCATGACTTAAACAGAGCTTTGTCTCTTCTCTATGTTTTCCTCAGACTGGGCAGGTTGAAGACACTGCTCATTTCGCTGAGCCTCTCAGTGGTATTTGGGGTGCTTGTGTGCGTCTCTACCTCCCCCCCTTTTTTTATTGTCATGCGCTTTTGCCTGGCTGCTGCTAGCGCTGGTGTCTACCTCACGCTTTACATCACACGTGAGTAGTCTCCAGATACTGGTGCTATAGTTAGGGCCTTTACATCACACGTGAGTAGTCTCCAGATACTGGTTCTATAGTTAGGGCCTTTACATCACACGTGAGTAGTCTCCAGATACTGGTTCCATAGTTAGGGCCTTTACATCACACGTGAGTAGTCTCCAGATACTGGTGCTATAGTTAGGGCCTTTACATCACACGTGAGTAGTCTCCAGATACTGGTTCTATAGATAGGGCCTTTACATCACACGTGAGTAGTCTCCAGATACTGGTTCTATAGTTAGGGCCTTTACATCACACGTGAGTAGTCTCCAGATACTGGTTCTATAGTTAGGGCCTTTACATCACACGTGAGTAGTCTCCAGATACTGGTTCTATAGTTAGGGCCTTTACATCACACGTGAGTAGTCTCAAGATACTGGTTCTATAGTTAGGGCCTTTACATCACACGTGAGTAGTCTCCAGATACTGGTTCTATAGTTAGGGCCTTTACATCACACGTGAGTAGTCTCCAGATACTGGTTCTATAGTTAGGGCCTTTACATCACACGTGAGTAGTCTCCAGATACTGGTTCTATAGTTAGGGCCTTTACATCACACGTGAGTAGTCTCCAGATACTGGTTCTATAGTTAGGGCCTTTACATCACACGTGAGTAGTCTCCAGATACTGGTTCTATAGTTAGGGCCTTTACATCACACGTGAGTAGTCTCCAGATACTGGTTCTATAGTTAGGGCCTTTACATCACACGTGAGTAGTCTCCAGATACTGGTTCCATAGTTAGGGCCTTTACATCACACGTGAGTAGTCTCCAGATACTGGTGCTATAGTTAGGGCCTTTACATCACACGTGAGTAGTCTCCAGATACTGGTTCTATAGTTAGGGCCTTTACATCACACGTGAGTAGTCTCCAGATACTGGTTCTATAGTTAGGGCCTTTACATCACACGTGAGTAGTCTCCAGATACTGGTTCTATAGTTAGGGCCTTTACATCACACGTGAGTAGTCTCCAGATACTGGTTCTATAGTTAGGGCCTTTACATCACACGTGAGTAGTCTCCAGATACTGGTTCTATAGTTAGGGCCTTTACATCACACGTGAGTAGTCTCCAGATACTGGTTCTATAGTTAGGGCCTTTACATCACACGTGAATAGTCTCCAGATACTGGTTCTATAGTTAGGGCCTTTACATCACACGTGAGTAGTCTCCAGATACTGGTACCATAGTTAGGGCCTTTACATCACACGTGAGTAGTCTCCAGATACTGGTTCTATAGTTAGGGCCTTTACATCACACGTGAGTAGTCTCCAGATACTGGTACCATAGTTAGGGCCTTTACATCACACGTGAGTAGTCTCCAGATACTGGTTCTATAGTTAGGGCCTTTACATCACACGTGAGTAGTCTCCAGATACTGGTTCTATAGTTAGGGCCTTTACATCACACGTGAGTAGTCTCCAGATACTGGTTCTATAGTTAGGGCCTTTACATCACACGTGAGTAGTCTCCAGATACTGGTTCTATAGTTAGGGCCTTTATATCACACGTGAGTAGTCTCCAGATACTGGTTCTATAGTTAGGGCCTTTACATCACACGTGAGTAGTCTCCAGATACTGGTTCTATAGTTAGGGCCTTTACATCACACGTGAGTAGTCTCCAGATACTGGTTCTATAGTTAGGGCCTTTACATCACACGTGAGTAGTCTCCAGATACTGGTACCATAGTTAGGGCCTTTACATCACACGTGATAGTCTCCAGATACTGGTTCTATAGTTAGGGCCTTTACATCACACGTGAGTAGTCTCCAGATACTGGTTCTATAGTTAGGGCCTTTACATCACACGTGAGTAGTCTCCAGATACTGGTTCTATAGCTAGGGCCTTTACATCACACGTGAGTAGTCTCCAGATACTGGTACCATAGTTAGGGCCCGGTGTATTGCGCAATCACGTGACATAGCATGATTCTATTCTATATTTCAAGCCTTATCCAGAAATGAGATTTACTCCAAAAATGAAAGCAATTTTCTGAGGATGGTGCTGGACCATCTGCCATAAGGAGAAAAAAGGACCGTTTGATACATTTAAAGTTCAAATCCAGGCATGTCACATGATTGCTCAAAACACAGGAACCTTGCCACAGTTCCAAAGGCTGTCACGTTCGTTCATAGACGGGGCAGACCAAGGCCCAGCGTGATATGCATACATGTTGATTTGAACCGAAAAAAACAACGACAAAACAACAAACTAAACGAAACGTGAAGTCCAAGGTACAACAAACAACATACCTCACACGGAACAAGATCCCACAACCCACTAGTGCCAATAGGCTGCCTAAGTATGGTCCCCAATCAGAGACAACGAGCCACAGCTGCCTCTGACAGATATACACCACATAGAAAATCATACCCTGACTCAACAAATAAGAGTCCCCAGAGTCAGGGCGTGACAAAGGCTCTAGAGTCAGGGCGTGACAAAGGCTCTAGAGTCAGGGCGTGACAAAGGCTCTAGAGTCAGGGCGTGACAAAGGCTCTAGAGTCAGGGCGTGACAAAGGCTCTAGAGTCAGGGCGTGACAAAGGCTCTATCAATAGCATCAAAACACTACTGCCATGATGACCACTGCTGATCTTTTCAAACCTGACACCACACAGAAAATAGCATCTTAAAACCATTTTGAGGATACTTTAAAGACCAAACTTGTTTATTAATCGTTCAGCACTGTTGTGTCTGTAATCATTCATTGTTTTGTCTGTGTGTTTGATTGACAGGTCTTGAACTCTGTGACCCCTCACTACGTCTGCTGGTCACCATGGTAGCAGGACTAACTACGGTTGCTGGAGAGCTGCTGTTGCTGGGTGTTGCTCTGGGTTGCCAGTCCTGGAGGGGCTTACTTGGAACTGGGGCTGCACCGCTCTCTCTGTTCCTCACCTATGGGTGAGTGTGTGTGTGTGTGTGTGTGTGTGTGTGTGTGTGTGTGTTTGTTTGGGGGGATAGTAGCTTATTGACAAGGGAAAGAGGAATATGGTATTCATTTGATTAAAGACCTAAGTGCAAACTGACTTGCTGACTCCAGCATTGTATTGATTTCAATCCCCCTGTTTCATTCAGCCATTAACTGAAGTCAGAATACATTAGCATTTGGCTTCAAGGTGCAGTGTCCCTCCCAGAGTCCTCATTACCTTTTATTTTAAATAGCAAATTTAACACAGAGCAAATGAAATAACAACTTTGACGTTCCAGGGGAGAAAATAGCTTGGTATGGATCCTAGGTTGAAGAACCTAATAATTCCATGTGGATGCTAACTAGCATAGCTGGTCCCATTGTTTAGAATTCTTTCTAAGAACAGCCCTTAATCAGGAGTCATCACACGGTAATCCCTGGGTTCTCATGCCTTATGGCTTCATTACAATCCTATTTTAACCGTTGTTATCCTCAACCTAGAAGGAAAGCTAGGAGGAAATGACATTCAAATGTTTGTTTTGTTTCAGTATTCCAGGGGTATTCCCTGAGTCTCCTCGCTGGCTTCTTCTCTCTGAGAGATCAGCTGATCTGAATTCCTTCAGTGAAAGAAGACATAGAGAGAGGGATGAAGAGAGCTTCACAGGTGTGTGGCAACCATTTTGTCTTTTCATGAGATGTATGACTTTTGATTGGGGGGGAAAAAAATGTCTCTGCTGATGCCTCCAGTGTGACATTTTGTGGTGTTGTTGTCATGATATCAGAGCTGGACTCGGAGCTATCTCCCTCTACTCGCCCACACCTGTCCTTCCCAGAGCTCGTACACAGCAGGAACATCTGGAAAAACATCTGTGTGCTCGGCTTCACCTCGTAAGTCACCTAACTGGGCTGTTTGAAGCTCCCCTCACACTTTTAAATAGCTGCACACGTAGTAGTAGTAGTAGTAGTAGTAGTAGTAGTAGTAGTAGTAGTAGTTAGTAGTAGTAGTAGTAGTAGTAGTTAGTAGTAGTAGTAGTAGTAGTAGTAGTAGTAGTAGTAGTAGTAGTAGTAGTAGTAGTAGTAGTAGTAGTACTAGTAGAATAAGATATTTAGGGATGTAATAATGTTATATGATGTACTGTTTTATCTTTTATTGTATTTCTAATGTAAGTGCCTTAATGTGTTTGGACCCCAGGAAGAGTAGCTGTTGCCAATGGGGATCCCTAATAAATACAATTACAAATACAGTACATTAAAGTTTTTAACTTCTTTGTGTAACTACACAGTAACTACACCGGTTACTAGTGAGAAGTAATTACATTTTGGTAACCAAACATATTACCATGTATGCTACCTATAGTGTAATATAAAGGTTTGCCCTTGCTTCTATCAACATTTTACTTGGTAGGAACCCAGAGGATTCATATAGTAGTTGCCAATCAGACCATGATTCTCCCTCTCCATCACTCTCCTGTTGTCTGTCAGGTTCATTTCCCATGGCATTAGTCACTGTTACAGCTCGTTCCGCGGTGATGTCAGAGGCACTGCCCCCAGCTTCTATTGGACCTATCTGCTCTCTGTCTGTGCGGGAGGAGGGGCCTGGCTGTTGTTATGGGCAACCGTGAACAGGTGTGGTCGCCGTGGTATCCTGCTCCTCGCCATGACGATGACAGGGCTGGCATCTCTGATTCTCCTCGGACTGATGGAGTGTAAGTTGGCGTTCAAGGTAGAAGTTGCCCTTAAAGCTAGAATCCTTAGTTACTACACCCATTTTTTGACTTATAAATTAATGATTAATACCAATTGATTCTTTAAGAATATAACTAAAATGCCTCATGAGCTTAGTTCAACTGTCGTACCCCATCAGAACCCAAAATATAAGCTTGTTTTACTCCAATGTTTGTAAACAATGTAAACAAACACTGTATAGCCTTAAAACATGGTTCAAACTATAATTCCGATAATGGTCAGTCCTTGCATCCATAGCTTTGTCTATGCATTTGAGTGGTTCCATTTCTCCAGGTCCATCCCTCAGCTTTTTACCGAAACAGAGATGGGGGTGGCCGCTTTGTTATTGTTTCAAATGCGGATTGGCCCTTTAAGCAACATAATGCTTTGGAGAAAGTAGATATGGTCCCTTCACCGCTGATACAGGATCAGGTATGTTTTCATCCACTAAAACATATAATCCTGTGTCAGTGCTTAAGGGCCAAATTCTACCTACTCCTAACCTTGAATACACAGAGAGTAAATGTAATTCAGTTCATAGGAGAACATATGTCATGACGTAGTTACGACTCCATCATTTTCTCAATTGACATTGAAAACAGGAAGCACAGGTTCTCTTTTCATGGCCCCACCTCGTGGCTGAATGGTGGTATATCAGTTCCCTGTAGGACACTGCCGTGGCAGGAAAGTCAAAGTCGCGTCTCAGTTTCAGCTGTAATCAGCAGTCGGTCAGTCTGTGGAGTTAAGTAATAAGTTAACTCTCCCTCCTGTTCCTCTCTCAGATCTAAGTGAGGCGGCCATCACTGTGTTCTCTGTGATGGGTCTCTTCTCCTCCCAGGCCGCTGCCTCTCTCTGTGTCCTCTTTACAGCAGAGATCATGCCCACCATCATCAGGTAAGGACCAGCAACTCATAGGCTGTCACACCAGTCTTCCCCATCTAGGCTTGTTCCTTGTATTAGACATATTATTAGGCCTGATATTCATATTAATGGGTGTCATTTTTGGCTTCATCCTCATGATATCTCTCTTCCCTGATCTTTCCTCTTGGAGATCACTGACCTTTGAACTTTCCCTCTTGTCCAGGGGCATTGGCGTGGGCACGGTGTTGGCCCTGGGCTGTGTTGGCCAGCTCACCTCGCCGCTCATGGACCTGCGCAACCACTACGGCTACTTCCTTCACCACGTGGTGTACTCCTCCCTGGCTCTGCTGGCTGTGCTCTCCATCCTGCTGCTGCCCGAGAGCAAGAGGAAACCGCTGCCCCAGACGCTGGCCGACGGGGAGCGGTACCGACGGCCCCCGCTGGGCCGGAGGAGGAGGGACAACGTGCCCCTGCTGGCCACCCCCAACCCAGAGACCTAGCACGTCACACACCAGTCATAACGCCAGCCCAGAGTGTCAGCAGGTCGCGGAGAGGAAGATGGAGAGGGAGAAGAGGGTCAGCTGTCTGCTGAAGATGGTTATGCAGAGCCTCCCCCCCCCCCCCCCCCACACCTTTCCCATAAGGCCTGTGTGTCAGGAAAGGGAGCAGCTGCTTTCTGCCCATGCTCCAGACAACCACCATCAGAGAGCCTTTTGATTTGTGTAGTATGGCATCACCCACAGCTCACAGAGGTAGAGGCAGGTATGCTATGGAAACTGTCCTGTAAATACCTACAACTTAGTTTCGTTAACTTTATGAATTCTGGGTTATCTGTTTATAAAAAACAGTACGAGTTTTGTTTCTGGAAAGGTCATTTGTATTGCGCAAAAGCATGGTACTAAGCCAAGATGAGGGCACTTTCGACTACTGCTCTTAAAGGCATTGGGGGAAATTACATTGATTGATTGAAGATTTTTTTTATGAGTAACGTTATACTTAACGGTAGTTTGGGGAAACTTTGTGAACTTGCATTAAATAAATACTAATAGGCTCCCTCCTCAAACCCAAGAGTCCTTACAATCAGTTGAATATGAAAAGAGAGAAAATGACATTTGAATGTACTGTAGTTCCTCAGACTTGGTTGGATGTGATAAAATGATATGAATTCAATTTCCAGATGTGGCCTGGAGCCAGTACTGTTTATGGGTCATTCGTCTTGATGGTCTGGGCTCTCAGACCAGTCTTACTCTGGGCTGAAGACATAGGTAGAGAGTATAGGAAGAGTGCCTGTGCATTCAGAGTAGAAAACGTTGGGTAGATAGAAATGTATGGTAGAAAATGGACACACATTTATATATTGTATCAGTTCTATGCTAAATATTATTATTACAGTTTGCAGCATTGAATTATAGCCCCGTCCAGAAACCACCCCAAGCCCGCACTCCCTAGGCACTGATCCAATAACAAATGGTGCCGGAGGGGATGGCTGCCATTTTATGGACTCGTAACCAACCGTGCTATTTTGTGTGTTTTTTCGCATTGTTTGTAACTTATTTTGTAAATAATGTTGCTGCAACTGTCTCTTATGACCGAAAAGAGCTTCTGGACATCAGAACAGTGATTACTTACCTTGAACATAGACAAATAATTTTTATTTTATGAGTCGGAGGAGAGGGATTTGCTCCAGACACCCGACAGGGCCCTCATCCCCGTCATTTGCAGTAGAAAGAAAGGGAGATATCTCGGAAGGAGATCGGGGTGCCTGGTAAGGAGCCGGCAACGAGTGGCTAATCTGCCTTTGCCATCGATACTATTGGCCAATTTACGATCGCTTGATAATAAAATGGACAAACTACAGGCACGAATATCCTACCAACGGGACATTAAAAACTGTAATATCTTATGTTTCACAGAGTCGTGGCTGAATGATGACATGAATAACATACAGCTGGCGGGTTACACTGTATCGGCAGGATAGAACGGCAGCCTCTGGTAAGACAAGGGGTGGCGGTCTATGTATATTTGTAAACAACAGCTGGTGCACAATATCTAAGGAAGTCTCGAGGTTTTGCTCGCCTGAGGTAGAGTATCTCATGATAAGCTGTAGACCACACTATCTACCAAGAGAGTTTTCATCTAGATTCTTCGTAGCTGTCTATTTACCACCACAAACCGATGCTGGCACTAAGACCGCACTCAATGAACTGTATATGGCCATAAGCAAACAGGAAAACGCTCATCCAGAGGCGGCGCTCCTAGTGGCCGGGGACTTTAATGCAGGGAAACTTAAATCCGTTTTACCTCATTTCTACCAGCATGTTAAATGTGCAACCAGAGGAAAAAAAACTCTAGAACACCTTTACTCCACACACAGAGACACGTACAAAGCTCTCCCTCGCCCTCCATTTGGAAAATCTGACCATCATTCTATCCTCCTGATTCCTGCTTACAAACAAAAACTAAAGCAGGAGGCACCAATGACTCGGTCAATAAAAAAGTGGTCAGATGAAGCAGATGCTAAGCTACAGGACTGTTTTGCTAGCACAGACTGGAAGATGTTCCGGGATTCTTCCGATGGCATTGAGGAGTACACCACATCAGTCACTGGCTTCATCAAGAAGTGCATCGATGATGTCGTCCCCACAGTGACCGTACGTACATACCACAACCAGAAGCCATGGATTACAGGAAACATCCGCACTGAGCTAAAGGGTAGAGCTGCCGCTTTCAAGGAGCGGGACTCTAACCCGGACGCTTATCAGAAATCCCGCTATGCCCTCGGACGAACCATCAAACAGGCAAAGAGTCAATACAGGACTAAGATTGAATCGTACTACACCGGCTCCGACGCTCGTCGGATGTGGCAGGGCTTGAAAACTATTACAGACTACAAAGGGATGACTATGTGATCACACTCTCCGTAGCCGATGTGAGTAAGACCTTTAAACAGGTCAACATTCACAAGGCCGCGGGGCCAGACGGATTACCAGGACATGTACTCCGAGCATGCGCTGACCAACTGGCAAGCGTCTTCACTGACATTTTCAACCTCTCCCTGTCCGAGTCTGTAATACCAACATGTTTCAAGCTGACCACCATAGTCCCTGTGCCCAAGAACACTCAAATCAACACCATTATCCCAGAAACCTTAGACCCACTCCAATTTGTATATCGCCCCAACAGATCCACAGATGATGCAATCTCTATTGCGCTCCACACTGCCCTTTTACACCTGGACAAACGGAACACCTATGTGAGTATGCTATTCATTGACTACAGCTCAGCGTTCAACGCCATAGTGCCCTCAAAGCTCATCACTAAGCTAAGGACCCTGGGACTAAACACCTCCCTCTGCAACTGGATCCTGGACTTCCTGAAGGGCAGCCCCCAGGTGATAAGGGTAGGTAACAACACATCCGCCACGCTGATCCTCAACACGGGGGCCCCTCAGGTGTGCGTGCTCAGTCCCTTCCTCTCTTCCTGTTCATTCATGACTGCATGGCCAGGCACGACTCCAACACCATCATTAAGTTTGCAGATGACACAACAGTGGTAGGCCTGATCACCGACAATGACGAGACAGCCTATAGGGAGGAGGTCAGAGGCCTGGCCTTGTGGTGCCAGGACAACAACCTCTCCCTCAACGTGATCAAGACAAAGGAGATGATTGTGGACTACAGGAAACCGAGCACGCCCCCATTCTCATCGACAGGGCTGTAGTGGAGCAGGTTGAGAGCTTCAAGTTCCTTGGTGTCCACATCACCAACAAACTAACATGGTCCAAGCACACCAAGACAGTCGTGAAGAGGGCACGACAAAACATATTCCCCCTAAGGAGACTGAAAAGATTTGGCATGGATCCTCAGATCCTCAAAAGGTTCTACAGCTGCACCATCGAGAGCATCCTGACTGGTTGCATCACTGCCTGGTATGGCAACAGCTCAGCCTCCGACCGCAAGGCACTACAGAGGGCAGTGCGTACGGCCCAGTACATTACTGGGGCCAAGCTTCCTGCCATCCAGGACCTATATACTAGGCGGTGTCAGAGGAAGGCCCTAAAAATAGTCAAATACTCCAGCCACCCTAGTCATAGACTGTTCTCTTTGCTACCGCACGGAAAGCGGTACTGGAGCGCCAAGTCTAGGTCCAAGAGGCTTCTAAACAGCTTCTACCCCCAAGCCATAAGAATCCTGAACAGCTAATCATGGCTACCCGGACTATTTGCATTGCATTCTTTTTGTATTCTTTCTTAAAACTGCATTGTTGGTTAAGGGCTTATAAGTAAGCATTTCACTGTAAGGTCTACACCTGTTGTATTCGGCGCATGTGACAAATAACATTTGATTTGATCTGAAAGGATTGGCTAGGTACAAGCAATCCACCCATCTAATCAGGCAGCATGGCGAAGCTATTACGATATTGATTATACCTATCTGATCCATTCAGATCCATTCAGATCCATTCAGATCCATTCAGATCCATTCTGATCCATTCAGATCTCCACACGGGTCTAGGGGGTAAGGCCTAAGGGCTGATTCCAGACCTGGGCTCTGTATTTCTCTCTGGTAGTAACTATAATAGAGTGAAACCTTTTTTTGTAGTGATGGTGACGTGCATAACAGGCGCCTTGTTGCCAGGATTTGGTACCGTATTATTTGAAACATTCAGGACCTAGCTGTTTGATGGGTTTTTTTTAACAGGTTTTTGTCGCTCTTCCTGAGAGGGCCTTGACTGGATCTACTCCAGAACCTTCTCTAGGCAGAGGGCAGAGGTGTGGGTGGTGGGGGGGGGGGGGGGGGGGGGGGGGGGGGGGGGTCTTTGGTAGTTTCTAAACAAATCTAATAATAATATGGATATTACTGATGATGATAATAACTATGAATAACTTGACAACAGTAATAAGTTGTTAGACATTGCTGGTTCCTTAAGATTATCTATTAAGCAATAACAGCAATGTAATTATGTTAATAACTCTAACCTGATTGAATTGGAAAATAAAATGTTAAGTAAACAATGGGTTGTGGTGGGTCTTGTCTGTGTATTGATGGACGAAGAGGGTCCTGTCGTCAGGAAGCTAACAGATCATCATATTGATCTAGTATATTATTACCTTTAAGATTGTATCATTGACTTTTTTTTATGCACCCCCAGAAAACAACGTCGAGATTTTTCACAGTGTTTCTGATAAAGATGGTACGAGTTCCGTAAATCCATTAGGGACGCAAAAAAATGATACAAATCGATTTTCGACAACTCAGACTCGCAACGCATGTGGCAAGGACTACAGGCTATCATGGACTACAAAGGCAAATCCAGCTGTGTGGTTCCCACCGAAGCCTCCCTCCCAGACTAGCTTAACACATTCTATGCTCTCTTTGAGGCAGACAATACTGAGCCATGCAGGAGAGCTCCCGCTGCTCCGGACGAAAAGGTGCTTTCGCTCTTCAAGGCTGACGTAAGGAAAACTCTCAAAAGAGTGAATATAGTTCAGCATTCAACACTATTATTCCCTCCAAGCTTTTAGTTTTGTGTCTGAGCACTACCCTCTGCAACTGGATCCTGGACTTCCTGACGGGCAGACCACAGGCTGTGCAGATTGGCAACAACACC